GCTGGTCCTTTGAAAGTCTTGGTCGTGGAGCAGTTTGCTCAAATTGGTCTTTAAAGGTTTTACAAGAAAGGAGTTTTGTTGTGGCTCGTTTAATTCTTTGAGACGACTGGAAATAAAAATAATGTTAGTCGGTCAAATCTGAGATCCTGTGTGATTTCAGCTTAAAATAACTTTTGATGGTTCTAAAGTCTTGAGTGCAATACACTGACTTTTAATTTGTATTTTTTGTTGTCTGAACACATTTTACAAAGAGTGTACTGGAACGGCAGGTGAAATAGTTCTCTAATTGTTTTGCTAAATTTCTTTGTTTTAAAGCCTCATAGAAACTGAGCTGATCTCTTCAAATACTTAGAAAACTGGCTGAAGTTGGCTGCTAAAGAATAAAAATCTGAACATTTCACAGTGTTTGTCTCTACCTACTATTTGTGTTTCATAAGCAAAGCATTGGAACGTATGGTTAGTTTAATCATTTTGAAGGCATGGTTGAATTGATCCTTTTGATGCTTTTGTAATGCCATCTGTATTTAAAGAATGATTAAGAAGTTATCTTCAAACCATAGAGTCAAATCTTTGACCTGCAGCAGTGCACAGCTAAGCCTAGGTGTTATTATTAGTTTGTTGTTTTCACACCAGCGCTCACATTGTGTTGTGCAAGTATCAAATAAAGTTACGCACATCCGTGTACCCATGATTCAACTTTTCTAAATAAGCTTTAGTTGCCCCATTGGCCAAGAAAGACTTGATCTAAATTCAATGCCTGCACAGTAGTTCTAGTGTTTGTTAATGGCACTTTATTCAGATTGTAAGACCCAGGGACAACGTGAACAAGTTTACAACACATTGACACTCTGCTTGTTCAACATAGAGTCAAAAAGAAGTGTTCCTCCTCTTCAGTTTACTGATAGTTTATATATTATACAGAGAAATTGAGTTTTCGAGAGAGAGGACTCTGAGAGGCATCATTGTAAGGGCTGCGCAATAAATCGCACCATGAGCTTAAGCAATAAAGACGTGGCGCAAAAGTCTGAATATATCATTTGATTATATTTGAAGAAGAACTGATTTCTCACTCAGTATGTGCACATCTTACCTGTTTGATGGAGGCCCAGGTGGCCATGCATTTACAACATGTTGATGCAGGCAGACAAAACTCCAGCTAACTCAGGTACCCTCAGAATAGTCGGTGTCATATTAGTGGTTAAAAAAGCGTCTTTTTGTATTCAGCGGGGAAAATGTTGAAAACACACGCTTTGTGTAAAATCTGAAGAACAGCAGAAAGACACCCTATGTCCCAGTCCTATGTCAGTTCTTCAAATATCATGCAGCTCGTATCATTATGCTCTTCTTGAAGCTCTCAAAGGCACCAGCTTTAATGGCCCTTGTCTAAACAAAGTATGACCTGCCTGAACAATAGTCCAGGTTTCTGTTTTTTTTCATGCATGTCCAAACGTGACAGTAAACAAAGAGGCGAGACCTGAGTGAGTTCAAATGCTGAATAAGCACTAGAGATGTAGCTGTACTGGTTTTAGTACATGGTTGCTTTCCTATAATTTAATTTAAAATAAATCTCAGTGTCATGTCATGTTGTTGTTGTGTTTCGACATTATAACCCTGACTCCTTTAAATCTGTTGTTTTCTCATTAAGTTTAACTGGAGAATGTAGGAAGGGAAACAAATGAGCAGAATTTAAACACAACGTTACAGAGACAAAGTTGGATTGTAACTATAGGAGAGAGTTAAAGCATCCCACATTTGCTCTATTTTACTTTATAATGAGATGTTTTTCATAAAGAATGGACTTCGTCGGGTCTGCTGAATGTCACATGCCATTTAAATAATGTACATTGAGACGGTGTTTGTCTTATTTCCATCATTCTTTCACAACTATAGGAACTCCCCTCAGCTCTCTCTGGCTCCTGTCAGTGCATGTTATCCTCCTTTAGAGAGATTAAAACACAATGGACGTGTTTTGATTGCTTTTAATCAGACAACAGAGACTCTCTGTGTCATGAGCATCCAGCCCACTCATGCTGTGTATGCATCCACTCATACGGCGACGACAGGAATTAATTGCCTGCTGTCCATCTGTAGTTTTAATATATGTGTATACGTATGGAGATTGATTTTCTCCTTTAAGATGAAAACACACCTCAGAGCCAGTCGGGGTTAAAGCTGCTTCAGCACAATGTGCTCTCTGTGGTGGGTTTCATTCAATAGTGGGTGGGAAGCTTCAACAAACAAGAGTCTGTTAGGCAGAGTTCGAAGAAGATTTCCAACACCTCCAATGTATAATCCTCATCGTCAGAGAATTATTGATGTCACACTTTGACATTTAACGTCTGAAACCAACAAAAAAATACTGATATCTTCAAGTCTTACTATAACAAGTTTCTTTGTTATTTACTTAAACTTTTCTGTGCATATAAGCTGAGTCTTTGAAGATTTCCCCTTGTGTTTTTTCCTCATTAGCTGCCACTCATTCTGCTTCACATTTAATCTCTGACTTCCCCAAAACGAGGTGATCCATCACAATGAACACTACAGAGATAATGTTTTTGAAGTGACCCACCCTTACATGTCACTCTCGTGGCACCCTGACAGGTACAAATGGAATTGTCTTCAGGACATGATTCCTCACACATGTCAGCTGTTGGACTGCTCTGCCTGTTAGTCGGGAGAGTATAGTTCATTTCAGGATAGGGGGAACCAGTTTGGGTTCATTTACATCAAGATGTAACATAAAGTGAAGGTGTGGAGTTTATTAAAGTTGTTTTTTAACAGGAAGAAGAAAAACAGGAATATTTAGTTGCATTATGGGAAATGTAGGACATGTAGGTTGTCTTCAGCCTGCCCCATCATAAGGGTGATAAAAGCTGTACTAATTCACTGTTCTTATTTGTACCCAGGCATGTTTCTATGAGGGTGCAGAAGGATGCATTGCACCCTTATTTGAAATTTCTGCACCCTCAATAAGTAATCAAGGCGGTCAAATGGCAACATTGACTCAGATGGTGTTTATTAAATCCATGATATGGTGGTCATGACAGATACACAAGACCTGTCTGTACACTGGGGACCACAAGCGGGAAAGCCCCTTTAATCTCAGATGCACCCTAAGTAATTTTGTTCTAGAACCGGGCCATACCTACGAAAAGTAATGGTGCCATAACGAGTAAACAACCCATGAATTGTGAGCCGATTTAAACCACTTCACAGGAAAATTAGACAAACAGAGCAGCTGCTGAGGTGATGCAATAGGCAGACCCAGAAAGTCTACCTTGAGTGGTTGTAAAACTTCACTGTCAGTCTGACCTGTTGCCTGACCTTTTGGCCTTCGAGTAAAGTAACCTGTTGTTGTGGTTTGCTTCCATAAATGGAGACTACCAGTTAGCCAAATGACAGGCAGTGTGTTCAAGTATTTCAGATCAAGTTACTAAGATAAGACTGTTTGTCAACTTCTGCAATGTCACGGCCAAATGTGATGATCTCATACTAGGGTGATGCAAAAAAAAAGGAGTTGTTTCAGAGGAGGTTCATGAACACATGGATTGCCCTGTGTGTCTGTGCAGACTGGCGTGACAGCATTTCCCTCATGGATTAATTAAGTATTTCAAAATCAAAATGACTAATCTATGTGCAAAGGTTTATATCCTAAGTCCCATACTTAGAAAAAGAGCAAAACAGACATGTGAGGTTGTCACCTTTGGCCATAGATCCTTAGGATACTTTCAGGTTCATATGGTTTGATCATTGACTGTATATAAAGATGGACAATGTGACTGTCTCATTGAAGTCAAAATAATGATATGACAGCTGCTGACTTATTGCCAATTTTGAGCCAGAGAGTCTGATGTAACAGAAGTGTCGGCGTCCAATAAAACAGCAAAGAGCCTCATTTGTCAACAGAGCTGTCAATCATGACGTTAAACCCCTTTTTATAGAATCGACTAACCTATTAAAACTAAACTTCTCAGAAAAATGAACACTTCAGTAGGATAAGAACCAACTGTAACGACAGAGAAATATTTATTTGACCTGTATTTAGATTTTGTATCTTGACCCATGTCCCATCTGCTAACATGGAGGAGGTAGCTTTATTATGTGTACTGCAGCCCGTCAGCATGGGGAAGCTCCATTTGTTTTCATGTCGAAAGATACTTCTTGGGCCATGATGATATTTCTTGCCTTTATGGATAGGACAGCTGAAGAGAGACAGGAAATGTTGGGAGGAGAGAGTGAGGGATGACATGCAGCAAAGGGCCGAGGTTGGATTTGAACCCATGACTGCTGCGATGAGGACTGCAGCCTCTGTACATGGGGTGCGCGACATAACCACCGGGCTACTGGTGCTCCATGTTGTACATCTTTTTATAATGTTTATGGTTTTGATCAAATATGAGGTATATTTCATTGTGATTACTTCAAAGCCATACAGATGAACATTTGCACTGTGCCTCCAGTTAAGAGTATATATTTTATTTTAGTGCTTTTAACTCTTCAAACTTTGAGTACACTCATTTTTTTATGTCTGTGTCATTCCGACTAAAGCACGGATGACCTTCAGTCGGTTCTGGTGTTTCATATCTGAGATGTGAAACAGTTCGAGGTATTTAGGGCATCCTCGTAATTCAGTTGGAAGGCAGGATTCACCACATTTCAGCCTTTCCCCTCCCACCATTCCTGTTTCTCTCCATTCCACCACAATGAAAATGTTTCTTAAAGCATCGCGGAGGAATGCTTTGACATTTGGGTGTTGTCTTAATTCTGTTTGTCGGTGGCATCTAGACACTCAGGTAAAACATTGAACAAAATGTCCTTAAGATGAAAGAAATTTCCCACCAAGGTCAGACTGAAGATTTCATTTAAAATATGTTTTCACTGCATTCATGGAGTCTGGCTGCTTGTCAGAGCTGGTTTAGTGATTTAAAGGCTGCGTCCTGTAAAATGTTTTGATATGAAGGTGAACAAATTAATTAAAAATACTCTCTCTGTCTTTAAAGTCTCCAGAGTTCCAGAGAATACGAGAGGACTTCCCCGCTCGTCTGGACAAACTACGGCAACTGATAGAAGACAAAGTTCATATCCTTCAATCCCCCATCACCAAGGAGCAACAGGTAAATGACACTCAAGATCATTATAGAATGAAGTGTTAAAAATAGCTCTTTAGGTGACTTTGAACAAGAGGAAAAGCTACAGAAGGTGACATCACATCAATGATGTGTTTAATGTGTATTTCTTGTATTGTTTGATGGTACACTGATAAGAAGTAAATGATAGAAATGGTCCGGCATTGAAAAAATTCTTGTTTATCGTGGTGTCATTTCTCTGAGGGTTTTAGATGATTGTTTTCCTAAAATCTGTAAAAACCTCAGATGAAAGCTGATGTCAGACAATAACCAATAATACAGCAGTTAATTGGAGTATTGAAACTGCTTCAGTCAGCGCCAGTGGCCTTGTGGTTAGTTTTGACTCGTCGAAGTGGGTGGCCCATGTTCGAATCCCATCCCTGGCTCCTTTCCTGTCCAGCATTCCCAACTCTCTTTCTTTCCCCAATGTCCAACTCTAACAACAAGTCTTGTCTCTCTTATAAAGACCCAACAAGCCCCTAAATTTATCTTTAAAAAAATAAATAAATAAAATAAACACACCAAACTTAAGCATCAAAAGTAGGAAAAAATGAAATGGATACTCTATTAGTTATGGAAGTTTTTGGGGTATATACTCAGAAAAAAATGTTTGTGTTAGTTTAATCTGCAATCGGAAATGAGTAAATATAAAATAGATGTATTGTAGTAATATGATTTCTGGAAGTATCTTTGAATGACTCATAAACCTGAAATCTGACATGTATCAGGATGTGGCCATCAGGAAGTGTTTTCATTCTGATTCTTATAAAATAATGTTTTAAAGACGAAAGCTTTGCACGGCAAAAAGAAGATAAAGGCTCCAGCTTTACATTTTATTTGTGTTTCATATGAATTTAACAGGATGACATAGATGCTATACTCTCAGCCTCCAGTGAGAGTTTTGTTTAGAGGTCAGACTACTAGAAACATCTGAAATGAAATAAATTAACATGTTGGGCTTTTGTCCTTTATTTATTGGTGTGCTTCTCTCCCTTATCTTCCTTTTATTTACAAATGACACATTCCTGACATCCTCAGTCTCAGCAGAGAGACAGCTGCTGTGATTAGGTTCACAATCAATCTTCTATTGATTACTTCACCTGGAAATCTTCCACACGCTCCTCGTCAGCTGGCTGACTGTCTCCTCAATTTGAAAAAGAAAACAACCAAACATGATGATACTCAGAGGTCAAGAGGTCATGCAGGAGGTCAAGCTGACTATACACTTTTACAAAGTCCTCTGCTGGATCACAAGACTGCTTCAAACTGTGTCAAGTGCAAGAGACTGTATAATACCAGTAAAAAAAAAAGATTAATAAAATAATTGTAACCGTATAAAACACAAGTTGAAAGAATTCAACTATAGCAGGCATTAGCAATAAGTAAGGTATTTTACCTGCTTTTTGTGAAGTGTCTTGAGATAACACTTGTTATGAGTTGACGCTATACAAAATAAATTGAATTGAATTGAATTGAATTAACATGTATTTTTTTCAGGAGTTATAGTGTGCCAGTTTTACATTAGAGCAACTAAAATATATGACATAAAGTTGCATTTACATCACAACTTTCAACCTCCAACAAGAAAATACAAAATAATCTATGTGTTTGTATAAAAAGGTAAAATGATTTGCAGCCTGAAGGTCATCTTTCCACAGGGATGTAATTTAAAGGAACTCTTTACTCTTTAATGATTTAAACTAAGCTAAAGACAGAATCTGTCTCAGAGCAGCTTTTAAAGAATCTGAAACATGCACGCCTGCAGTTAAAACATCGCTGATGTCATTTTGTCTTTGCTGACGTTGAAACTATGTAAAGTGTTTTTGAAATGAATCTTTGCTAGAGGGTACGAGGCTAATTGCTCAACACTGCCTTAACTGCATTCCTCCCAACAGTCTACACAGGGATTTGCTTTTATTGGCAGCCTCTTGATGTGACTTCTTTGATTTTTCCTCTTAATTTCTCTGTTGGTACACGAGTCCCTCTCTCTGTTTACTCTCTTTCTCTTTCTGTTCCCTTACAGTTGATCTCTCTGCTGAGGTCAAGTTCATGATAAAAGCTCCAACATATTCCCTCACTCAGATTAATAAATATCAAGCCGATCCAGTAGACTTCATTTATATGAAGTATATGATGTCAAACTTGACTTAACATTTTGACCATTTTAACCAACATTTCAGAAGACCCCCCTATTAGTGATGTGAAAAGCAGTTCTTTTCAGTGAACTGAATCAGTAGAATCAGTTCAGCAAAGTGATTCGTTCAAAAGATTTGTTCACCGAATCGTTCAGTACTTCTCTGCAGCTCTGTCTGTGAATCAGAATTTAATAAGCTGAAACACGGCCGAACGTTTAGTTCTGCTCGCAATCGTACTGAGAACAGCCGGTGGTGAATAATAAACTAATGAGCTGAGAATTTAGTTGGATAAAGTTACAGTTTGCAAACTGAAAGCTGCTAAAACAATCACATTTATTTTCCCCCGACCGTTCTGTTCAGTACGTTCAGTACACAAATCACTCACTGACTGACTGACTGAGAGGAAGAGAGAGACTTGGAGGCGGAGCTCTTGTTCAGTTTGTTCAGTGAACGTGAACGAGCGAGACTGCGAGTCACCAGCCTCAGTCACACACACACTGTACTGACTGAAACACGATCGTTAGTAGATGTTAAAACAGTCAGCTGGGTGAAATTAAGTTGGATATAAAAGCTGTTTGTAAACTGACAGCAGATATAAAAAGCACATACATTTTCGCGACACCTAAATGTTAAATAATATGTTTAGTTAGCATGCTAACACAACAATGCAGGACACAGGATATTGCAGCTCAAACCAAGGACAAGTCTGTCCAATGCTTACACTTGACTCCTTCATGCAAACGTGAGGGATTAGAGGTGTGCTGCTGGAGGAGAGCGGAGGCTGGAGTATGGCGGAGGTGTCCCCAAACAGCAGTTTGTTTTGGTATAATGTTGGTGCTCAAGGGCGACCTCTACTGGATCAAAAAGTCTCTCATTCCTCCTTTAATGAACCTGATGTGTAGCTGGAGCAAAGCATGTGCCTTCTGCATGAACGTGTATCTTTTTTTAACCTCTATGTCTGGGTTCACATGTCTGTTATGGATGTAATCCTCAAAATGACAAAATGAAGAATTATAGCGTCTGTAGATATGTTTTGTATCTCAGCTTTTTAGTTTAAAAGAGGACCAAAGATCATGTTTTAAAACTGAGCGAGATTTGGCTGAACATGGCGACAGTTTGTTTCTCAGACTGAGTCACACAGAAGACAGACAGAGAGACATGAAGACAGACAGACGGACGGACCAATCATCATGTGGCAGCGTGACTCAGTTTGCCTGTTTTCTCTCAGCAGCCCACGGACGCTCACTGACGGACTCTGTCACCTCGACGAGTTCAGACTCACAGCCTGATCGTTCATCCCCCCCTTCTCCATCTTTCTCTTTACTCATCGTGTCCCCCTGTCTGTCTGTCTGTGTCTGTTCACCTCCTCGTGTCTGTCTGTCTAATTCACCTGTCTGTCTGCGTGTCTATGTGATTGATATCTACCCCACTCTGTCCTCCTCCAGCTGGTGATTCATGGCTCTCTGCTGTGTTACTCAACATGTTGCTATGTCTGATAAACAGCAGGGGGGCAAAAGCTGAAGTGTTACATATAAAAAAAAAACCTCCAGACTAAATACTTCACGATTTATGACGCATTTGTTTGTTTTGTCTTGTGTTCTAATCAGTTGTTAGTGTGTTTTTTGTCTGTGATTATGAAAGTTAATTGCCTTCCCGTTTCCATGCTGACAAAAGAGAAATTCTTGATTTGGGTGTGTTGTTGATCTATAACTCCAGTCTAAAGTCGCTGCCAAATTTAAAATGAGTAAAGGTGTAGATGCTTAATTACATTTCACCTCTGATTTCAATCTGATTCAAGTCAAACAACTTGATGAATCACTCTGGGGGGAGGTGACACAGCGACACACTGACAACAATAGATTATACATCAGAGGGGTCAATTATGAAATGAGTTATTTTGGGAGGCTTTGGCTCAGAGGTAGAGTCAGTCATCTCTCCACCGGGGGGTCGGGGGGTTCGATCCCCAGCTTCTGCAGCCACATTGGGCAAAACACTCTCCCGCTGCTTCCTTTGCTGCGTATAATTGCGTATGAATGGGATTAGTTACTTCTGATGGACACTTAACAGAGCAGCCTGTGACATCAGTGTGTGAATGTGTAGGTGTGACCTGCGGTGTAAAAGATCTTTGAAGACTAGGAAAGTCCATTTACTTTTTTGTGTCTTTACAACCTGTCCAGTGTGTTTTTAAGCTGCCCAATAAGGACATACCTTGTAGAGGTGTATCTAATTAAATATTAAGCACGTACAGTGACAAGGTGAACTCATCCTACTGGCTCTGTGAGGCCGTACTTGAGCAGGTCTTTCTCCCATTAGCCGTCCTGGTGTAAGCATTAAGCATCAGTTGTTTTGTTGTCCTCCAGTTCGGCTACCAGCTTGTGTGTGTTTTTCCTTTCCAAACTTCTCTTTGTTCTCCTGTGCTCAGGGTTCTGTGTGTGAGGAGAGCTCAGGGACAGGAGGACTGTGGAGGTTTGCTGTTTTGAGTGAGGAGCTGACTTTTCACCTGCAGCAGCTGCAGACACAGACACAGCAGGAGCTCTGCAACATCTGCACACAGTGAGTCCACATCATGTGATGGATATTCAGTACAAGGCAGATGTGGGCTGATGTGTGAGGGGCACCGAGGAACATGAATTATGTTGCCTACAGAGTGGATATCATGAGTGCATACTGAGGGTTAAACTCCTTCTTAAAACTCAACTCTGATAGCCATTACAAATAAAGTGAAAAGTCCTGGTAGTTTATTTTGTCTTAAAAAAAATAAAATATTTTCAAATGTTTGCTCCTAAAAAACGACCTATACTATCTGTTAATATTCTTGAAACTACAAAAAGTCGAACTGTAAATGCGTCAGGAAATAACTTTTTTTGTCTTATGACCTTGAAAAAATAATTCTTTAAACTGGAAACACAATAAGGGTAAAGATTGCAATATTTTATAAAGACTAAAGGTCTCTAAACATCAAAGACAAAATTCATTCAAAATGAACACACACACACACACACACACACACACACACACACACACACACACACACACACACCCTGTACCTCTGTTCTCTGCAGGCTGCTTGCCTCACCGCTCTTTCTGTTTGTCTCCCTCCCTCTTCATCGATCTTGGTTTAGTTTTTCCGATGTGAATCCATTTTCACAACCTGGGGAAAGCTTCTTGTCAATCGAAAAGAACAGCATTGGAAGTTAATACAAGTTTGTGCCTTATGAATACGTCGCTGATGATGTTGAGTCTTTAGATGGAAAAAAAAAACATTTTTTTGGTTTAAAACACTGCACGTGGACGTTTCTGTGATCAGTGATGTAAGATGTCAGAGTGCTATTAGCAAGCGTTTACATTTTTTTTTCTGTAATAAGTTTGGCTTAAAACAAAGCATGTCATTTGGACAGCCCTAATATGTGTATTTTTTTTTTTTTGTTCTTGGACTGTCCTCTTCATAGACATCAGGAGCATGTCGTGTTGTGTTTGAACACGTGAGGAGGAGGAAGCTCTGTGTCGGTTCCTCGGGGTTTTGTCACAGAGCTGAAACATAAATGTGGGAGTTTCGCTGTATCTCATAACAGCAGCAGGTTCTGCTCCACTGGGGAGCACAACAGGATCCAGCCTGCCTGTGTGTGTGTGTGTGTGTGTGTGTGTGCGTGCGTGCGTGCATGTCAGAGTGTGAGTCAAATTGTGTGTGCGGCTGTGAGAGTGAGGGATTGGAAAGAAGAAACGAAAGTGAACGGTCCAAATGCGTTTGTTGTTTTGTGTGTGTGTGTGTGTGTGTGTGTGTGTGTGTGTGTGTGTGTGTGTGTGTGTGTGTGTGTGTGTGTGTGTGTGTGTGTGTGTGTGTGTGTGTGTGTGTGTGTGTGTGTGTGTGTGTGTGTGTGCGCTATTGTAAATAGTTCTTTTGAAGGTCCATATGAACCTCCAAATGTAGATTTGATACACATTAAGTGATGTAAAGGTGTGCAGGTTAAAAAAACAAGATAATATTTTTGTCAGACAATAATGTGAAAAAGGAAAGACTGACACAGCATGCCTTTGTGTCCTGAGAGGGAAATTTAAAGTTTTTTTTCAATAAAGTTTGGTGACATAAGGCCTTTTCTGCCTTTAAAGAATAGTCATTGTCTGGATCTTATAGTTGTGACCTTAAGGACAGTAGAGAGCCTGTCGGTGTACATAAATAAACTCTTTAAGTTAGGGGCTGAATGATATTTTGAGCTTGATATTGATATTATGGAGAGAGAAAAATTTGATACGATTTATCAGCCGATACCTTTCTTAGATCCCTAGAGATAGATATATATAGATACTTGTTTATTGCGTTGATCCCTCAAACACAGTTATCAAACACTTGTGGAAAACATGTATAATGAAGACAAGATGGTCACTCAACTGGAGAATAACTGTACATATACATGCCGCTTGACTCTCTAGAGGGTGATAATGTTTGTTGTAATCCATATAGCAGACTCTGTTGGTGACAGCAAGAGAGAGAACTGCTGGTGTAATACGTTAAAAATCAAATAAAATGTTTTTGACGACTGAATAAATTGAGTAAGATCGGCTATAAAATGAACTGCTACTGATAGTCATTTGATATGTTAATATCAGTCGATATCGGCTGGTCGAGAAATCTGTCCGGCTCTACTTTAAATATTTTAATCAGGAATATCTGGATAACACAGCAGCCTATTGGCTCTTTTTTTTTGTTCTTATTTGTGATTTAGACCACAAAGTGTTGAAACCGTCTTCAGTCTGGTGTGCTTTATACACTCAGTATTGGCACAGATAAGATTTTAGTGGATCAATGGAAGTTAATTGAATCTTCAAAAAAACAAAAATTCTTTCAGAAACTTGTGTCTGACATCACAGATGCTCTTTCAAAGTGTGATTCTGCTGTGGACATCAGGCTGGCTGGTAAAACAGTGAAAGTTGGACTCAGTTTTCAAATCCTTGTAAAAAAACAACTTCCACAGAAAGTGTGAGAAAGTGAAAGTTTCCTGGTGCATTTTCAGTTTTTCGTTACCACTTGTGCTGCGCTGACAGTAAAAAAAACGTTCAGATGGTGGTAGGTGGCTGCTGCCTCACCCTGCTCGCTCGCCCGCTCGTACTCTCTGTACCGCCGCCATGACGAGCCGTTTGGCAGAGCAACGCTTCAACTGCTCTCGCTTCTGTCAGACAAGACAAGCTAAAACACATCTCAGGATTCAAGGTGTGCCAGCAGACACGCACACACACACACACACACACACACACACACACACACACACACACACACACCCTCCCACATACACACACATTATTCTGATCATCTTCCAGGAAATCTCCTAATTTCTCTGCAACTTTGGTTCTCATCCTCGAGACTGATCGGCTCCTGTCACAACTGGGATCAAAGGCTTAATAGGAGATGAACAGTGCTGTAATAAAACCTTTTACACCTCTGCATCGTGTCGCCCTGCCCACTTCTCAGATCTGCTCGGCTTACTGGAACAAGACGTCACCCTGCTTTCTTTTTACTGGGGTTTTTCTCGGCTTTAAAAAAAAAAAAACCTGCTTATTTAATCGTGTCAGCAACAACACAGGGTTGGGTCTTATGCAAGGAAAGGGGATCAAGCATTGACTGAACAGAAATTGAGATTTTCTTTAAGTGGACCCCAACAAGCTGCAGGAGTCGAGCGGCTTTGAAACGTACAGAAAAGTCCTTTAAAACTGCGTTAGTTCGGATTCTTTTTGAAGGCTTAAAACTCTTCTTAAAACCTCGTACAGTACATTTCCTCTGCTGTTTGTAAAGAGTGAGAACATAATCCCAACCAAGCAGCAACCTTCACGGCTCTTTGGTGAAGCCGAAGCTGTCCTAATGGTCTTCCATACCACCAAACTTTTTTCTAACACCAAGAGCCTCGTGTCAAGCGTTTACAGCAGCTCACTCCCACAGAGAGTTCACACCAGATAAACTCAAGTGTTGGGGCGGATGAAGTTTGATTGTGATGGATTACATGAGATGTTTTCAGTGGTATTTCCCCATACAGAGAGATAGAAACAGAGTCTTTAGCTCGGGTTATTCAAGGACACTTTTACTCCTGCCAAGACTAACAGGCCGACTGGCAGCTTTGGAAAAACTCCCATCTGATCTGTCAACTCTCTCCTCTTCTTCACCTTCCTCCTCCTCTTCTCTGAAGGCCTAGCTTCTCCTAATATGTTCAAAAAAATGTCTGATATTGACCGTGGAATTGATTTGTCGCCTCATTAATCCTATTGATCTCAAGACCAATTCAACCAGATAAAAGCTTCTTCTATTTTCCTGTAGAAAACAAAAAAGCAGAAAGCTCAGATACCAGAAAACAGAGGAAGGTCATTTCTACACAAAACAACTGCTTATAGGTGCAAGAGGAACAGAAATATGTTTTGCCCCCCCCAAATTTTTTTTAAGAATACAGCTGGAATTGGTCAGTAGCCTCCAGCAGCAAATAAAGGCTGGATTTTAAGAAGTACATGTTGTTTAAAGCTCCTTTGAGGAGTTTTTAGCTGGTTATGAAACAGGCTGAAGTTAATATTGGAGACTCTTTATGACCTACAAAAGCAAACAGGACCATCAGCATAGGGAGTTATTTCATCTGTAGTTATTTTTAATGACTCCTGCCGCGGGGTAGGTGTCAGGTGAAGAGATTATCAGCATGCTGAAAAAGGCTGTTTTTGCATATTCCAATGTGAAGATGCAAAAACAGTGATGTATTTGACAGATAGAAGGTCGCTGGTAGCCTAGTGGTTAGTGCAGGCATGCTATTTATGAAGCTATATTCCTCTACGCAGGCGGCCCGGGTTCACACCCAGCTTGTGACTCCTTTACTGCATGTCATTCACCCCTCTTTCTCTCCCTGATTATTTTTTTCCATCCACTGTCCTAGCTCTAAAATAAAGGCAGAAAAAGCCCCCAAAAATGGTCTCCCCTGTGGCTAATTGACTTATTATTGCGAAGTATCTCATATAACCCCACTTCAAAAATACTGAACTATCCCTTTAAGTTAGATAACCTAAGTTAGGTCAAACATGCATGTTACTTACTGAAATCCACATTTTCTCAGAAAACAAACAAAATGTTTTTGTGTCTAAGCTTAAACACAATGCTGCCATTTCACAGCATCAGCCCGCTAAAGTTATTGATGCAAAAAAGAACAGAGTATGGCAAACTGCTAATGGAAACCCCTTAAACCTGATAAAAGCTCCAGACAGAATTTTCTTTATTTTGTGTGTAAAAGCAGAAATGTGCGATTGACCTAAATCTTAATCGTGTCATTTATTTTCTTGTTTAAAACTTTAGTATTTCCATTTTTGCTCGTATCTTTCGTCCCCTTTTTGATTCCTTCTCTTGTCATTTTGTTTCACTTGTTTCATGTTTTTCTTTCCTGTCTTCAACTTCCTGTTTCTGTCTTCTCTGTGATCCCGTTTGTGTAATAGAGAAATACTTGACCACACCTGATTTCTTCATCCTTATCTGTCTTTCTCCCCCGTTATCCTGTCCAAATATTTCTGCTTCCTGTTCCCTTTCTCCCTTTTCCTCCTCTCAAATAAATAAGTAGAAAATATTTATACCGCCATCATGAAGCAGAGTGAGACATAAACACATACAGGTCTGCAGCATCACCATCACATGATAGAAACACTGAACAGAGCGTGTTTTATTCTTCACTGTGGATTCTGTTTGCTCTATAAATACGCCTCAGCGTGTACATCCCGTTTAACCTCGACACGGAGAAACCAACATATGTGACGTGCTGCGGGCAAGGAGATACATTAATATGAAGAAAGAAAAAAAATAACACCCACACATTTTTCACCTGCAATTATGGAGTGAAATGTGTTTGTCACATACATTCAAGCAATTATGGAGCCCTATTCACGCTTTTCTAGACGTACACACCTAATCAGAACACACTGACAGCTGGTGCAGGGTGTGTGTGTGTGTGTGTGTGTGTGTGTGTGTGTGTGTGTGTGTGTGTGTGTGTGTGTGTGTGTGTGTGTGTGTGTGTGTGTGTGATTTTAAAGTTGTCAGCTACACACACACTCTCACGCACACACAGATATTCATTGGTAATTACTGTCTCTTCACTCTGATGGATGATGTTTCTCGCTGCTCATCACACACACAGGTGATTTAATGAAGACATTTGATTGGTTAAGAGAAGTTTTGATTGACAGCTGACAAAACAGCTTGTTTTTGGCATGAAGTTTTGAGAGCTCCTGGAAATGCTTCAAGGTGTTCATTTAGTCAAAACAATGAGCAGATTGAAGGTGCAAGAAAACATCTACACACGTTCAAGTACCGGGAGATTTCCCACAATGCATCAGAGATAGTGGTGCTACACATACGCATGGCAAAGCCTTGTTAAAGCTCAAAAATAGATTTCTCCTTTTCTCAGACATCCTCTCATAAGTTGCTTCTCTAGAAAAAGCAGATTTGAGGATTTTGGAATCAATAAATGAACGATTCCCAGACTTATGTTTAAGTTTTCATTTGAACAGAAAATGCTTGAAATCAAATTCAGACATTTTTCCGAGAAATATCCTCAAGAAGTTCTTTTTTTAATAAACTTATTTGATAAAAAAATGGAGCTTTAGGCAACTGGACAACAGATTTTTGAACAACAATAAAAAAAAGATTCAGAGCTTACTTGGACTCAGACAAACTTACTCAGGGCTGATTACAAATACTATTATATTTGTGAGGAACATTTTGTCCTAATACAGTAAATTCAATAGATAAAAGAAAAAATGAAATGAAGGCACTGACTGTTTATCTGTGGAGTCAAATGAAAAAGTGTGTCACAACTTTTAAGCCTTTCAGAATGAAGATGAAAGCCACATTGAATTAAATCATCCAAGACTTTTAGATCAAAATATGTCTATAGCTATACATCTATCAGTTAGAATTTAATTTTCTTTGACATATTTACACCTCAAACATAATGTTGGTATCATCTGCGTTTTGTCTTTTCCGTTTGTTCCTGAGTGTAAAGCAGAAATCCTCCCAGTCTTTTAGCTTTTCTTCAGATTTCTCTTTCTTCATGGTCACACACACACACACACACACACACACACACACACACACACACACACACACACACACACACACACACACACACACACACACACACACACACACACACACACACATACAAAGTGGAGTCAGCAGTCCTCCTTGAAAACCTTGTTAATGTGGTGTTAATATATTTCCCAGAGGGCCTTTGTGTTTTTGTGTCGTCGTACTAATTTGTCTGCCTCTACATGTCGATATCGCTCCTTCAGTGAGTTCATCAAAGGCGTCCTCAGACGAGCCTCCTCTTCTTCCTCACAAACAAAACACTTCTCATGCCTCTAATCAGCTGCTGCTGTTTGAGGCGTCTGTTACAGAGGGTTAGCACCTCCTAGTGGACACATCACGTATTGCACCCTGATGTCTCTGAATTACTTTACTGTACTTTTCTTTCTTCTTTGTACTAAAAAATGTGATTTTATACATTGGCATACTCTTCATTTATGAATACTACTGTTACCCCCTTTTTACAGTACTACTACCACAATACTCCTGTTACCACAGTAACTACTTGTTTTACTACAACTATCATGGCTGCATTTGATTCTACTTACACAATTGATTCAACAATTGTTAGATCAATGATCACTGCTGGTACAAGAATCATAATGACATAATTCACAGGGATTAAATGATAAATAGACTTGAGCTTGTATATTTCTTTTCTGGTCTTCTGACTACTCAAAGCTCTTTCACACTGCAGGTCACACCTACACACACTGATGACAGAGGCTGCTGAGTAAAGTGACCATCAGTATTAACTCATCCATTCATACACATTAACAAGTCGCTGACAAAGCAGCGGGAGCAAATTGGGATTAAGTGTGTTGCCCAAGGACACATCGGAAATTTGTTTTAAGGAGCTGGGCATCGAACCCCGGACTGCCCTGTTAAGAGACAACTGAATACATCAACATTAAATTTATAGTGCTTGCACATAAAACTCCTAAATAAAATCCTGATGTTTTTCAGAATGATATCAGCACTTATAGCCAGCTCCGCAAATAATTTTTTCCCGCAAGACGAGCTGATGTGAGAACAAAGCAGAATAAAAATCAGCACCTTGAGCGAGTGGGAGGGGGTGGTGATGTTTATTCCCCGCAATCGGTGGAAATTTCAACAGCAGTCCTCCTGAAATTCTCTCAAAATTTTCAGGAGTGCATATGTTAAAACGGCCTGACGCTAAGACTCTGACATGCAGCTTTAACCCGTGCAGTACACTGTATAAAATCCCTCCAGCGAACTCTGGGTCTAGATATCTTATTGTGGAGGATAACAGCAAGAAGATGAAGAATATAAAGTGGAAGTAAACAACAGTCCATGGTGTCAGGAAGCATTAACTCTGTATCAACGGGTCGCCATGTTTGTTGAAGGAACGGTTTCATGTTATCCGCTGTGGTTGTTTTGGTTGGCTGATCAGGAATGCTGTCAAAGTGTGCTGCTTTCAGGGATCAGGAAATCCCATGACCATGACTAACCCCTTTTTTTATTTACTTTTTTTATCTCTGATAAATGGTTTTCTTTATTTTTTTAAAATCAAAGTAAACAAATGACTCAAAGCTTCTTCAGCCTTTTAAAGAGTCATGCTGTATCTATCGCCGGTGTTTTCTCAGTAAATCTCCGAGCTTGTAGAAGACAAACAGAGAGCAGAAAGGTCCGACCTGTTCTATCCTGTTCTTTTCTCTCCTTTCAGGAGTGACTCAGGTCGTCTGTCAGGGGGGGTTCAAGCTCCAATTGTATAAAAGACACAAAATGTTTTCTCTGCTGTAATTATCTCAAACTGCAAACTGTTCCTCTTTCCTTTTTATTCACACGTTGTTCACTGATATTTGATTCTGTGTGTCTTGAAAACATGCGTCTCTAAGTGTGAGGGTTAAACCTTTTTATTTTCTGCTTGTTATTATTATCCTAGACATTATCATTTGCATGTCCTTATTTATAAGACTATACTTAATCTGCTTCTCTCACTCGTGTAAATGTATTGATGAGAAAAGTTCAGGAAGCTTCAGTCTTCAGTTGCTCAGCGACTCAGTCAAGAAACTTACTTTGTCATATGTTCCTAAAGTGCGTCTTGAAACGTAGAAAAAGGAGTTTCAGGTACGCTGCTCCTGCAGTCTGGACTCTCCTGCAGGAGGATTTGTGTCTGGGGGAGCTGGTCTCTTTACATCTGTTTAAGAGTAGATTGAAGGTGTTGGAGGAAGATGCTTCTGGTTGTAGATGCTTTGATAAAACCACTCAGGATATGTTGATCTGTTTTATATCTGCTGCTGCCCCTCTTGGCCAGGACACTCTTGTAAATGACATCCTTAATCTCAGTGAGGTTTTCCTGGTTAAATACATTATAAAGGAATTTAAACTTAGCCACATATGGAGTGATGCATTCTTTGCCCTAAAGTAAAAAAGGCTGGCTTGTTAAAAAATAAATGGCAGTTTTCAACAGATAAAATGTCTGAATCACTAATTAAACTTATTCTGAAAGTCAAAGATATCCAGTCAATAAACAGTCTATTTAACACTGTAGTAAGGTTAAACTATGGAGCCCATAGTGTTGTGTGCACAAGATATCATTAACAAGTTATTACCTTTTGGGACTTCATAGGCTCCGTACTAAAGTTTAAAAAATAGAATATATTAGTTAATATGGTATTAGTGTTATTTTAGTAGATTTTAGTTGACTTGAATGTAATCTGTAATCTAAATGTTTGTGTGTTTGTGTGTTTTCAGACTCTCGCAGATTGAGGGCCGTCAGCGGCTGCTTTCCTTTGAGCTTTTAATTCTTCAGGAGAAGAAGAAACAGGCCGAACAGGAGCTGAGGAGAAACTCCAGCTTCCATACGTCCACTGTAAGTGATCAGAGGATTTTATTACATCTGATCAGGTAAACATGTTTTTTAGACAAACTGTCAGGAGAGGTCACAACCAGAAAACCTATTAGTAGACCAATGATGTCACTTTATTTTGTTAAAATAGCTCCTTAATATGTCATTTTTACCCTCTACAGGTTCAGCTGTGTGCCTGCCGGGAGCTTCAGGTCTCCATCACCGAGCGTTTGCTTCAATCAGAGAGGTTGGTGTTCCAGGAGGAGGCACTGAGCACGCTCCATAACCTGCTGACACAAGACCTGCAGAGGTACCAGGACGAGACGCAGAGACTGACCGGTTTCACACAGAAAATACTCAGACAGTCGCACAGGTAGCTCAAACCTCATCATGTTTTCATTTATCCAAAGTCATTGTCGCATTTAAGTTTGATTGAGTTTTTAATTGTCTTTTGATTTCATTATTATCATATGTGATGATACCATCACAGTGTGTTCTAGTTCTGTTTAGGACTTTATCTAAGGACCAATCTGTCAGGTATCTACTGAATGAAATGATAAAGTGACCTTACTATCTGATCAGACATTAAGGAAACATGCTATGTTGAAGTGCTGGCTTCTCTGACAACAATGGATTTGTTTGGACCAGAGAAGGTAGCGGGTTTTAAGACACCCCCACATGGCTGTTTTGCCCCTCAGTCCTCGGTTTGCAAACCAACAGGTGTTGCAGCGATGGAAAAAAGAAGAAGAGAAGTGGTTCAGATAGAAGTGATTGTACCCGGCCTAAAAAGCCTCTGCATGTTTCTAATAAGCTCCACGAGCAGAAACGTGCTCAAAGTAGGATCAATATTGGAGATGCTTTTGAAAAATGGAGAGAGGTTAGAACACAGAAAGGTTTACAGACCGATGCAGAGCTGGATAAACACTGAAGCTTCAGGGTCCACCACATGGTGACCTGTGTGAGCTTCGACTCTAGAGAGGAGGGGGGGGGGAACAACTCTCTACAATGTTTGGAATTTGGACTGCAGTACTCATTTTAAACACCAGGTGTCAGAGTTACATACTGCTCCTTTAAAGAAAGGGACTAACTTTTTTCATGTAATTTAAAAAAAAAATAAAAACATTTGTTTTATTTTCTCTCTCAGGTCGGACAGAAAGGAAACGCTCCCGAGCAGAGAGAGTGACCGCAGCATGCAGGGAAAGAGCGAGACAGAGCAGCAGAACAACATGGTACAGTCTAACTTTAAAATCACAGCAGGCTCAGTTAACCTGTTGTCTTTACCTTGCTTTACTCTGTGTTTCTTGTTCTTGGTGCTATCAGGCTTTTAAATCACTTCCAAACACTTGACACTGTTTGGAAGCAAACTAACTCCAAACCTAACACCCAGCTGTCATCCTGAAAGATTAGGCATGTTTGTTTTTCATGTTAACTAAGAATACCCGTCCAGCAGAGTTCATGTGGGCAGTTAGAGAACTTTGAGGCCAAAATTCAACCTTTTAAAAACAAAAATCTATAGGTTAATAAATGATGTGGATTTGGACTGAAACAGATCTTGAGATGAGACAGAAGATGAAGTTAAATACCATTTAAACATTTTACAATAAGAAACTCAAACAAAACTTAAATATTACAGGAAAACAGGATAACAAACCTCTTGTTGCAGTTGAGTTGAGTAGAACACTGCCGCTGTGTTTTTTATCCAAGAGTGTGTGGTTGTGTGTGTGAGAGAGTTTGTGCTTGTGTGTGTTTGTGCGTGCACATTTGTGCTCGTGTAACTTTGTGCCTGTGCGTGTGTCTGGCATGGATCCAGCTGTTGTCAGTCTTTCTCAGACAGTCGGAGAGGAGACAGAGGAAACATCTGCCCGCTCATCTGGCTCTGTCTGTCATACACAGACATAGAACCACACACACACACACACACACACACACACACACACACACACACAAACACTGTTAGCATTTTTCCCCCTAAAAAAAAACCCAGAACATCAAGAAAAAAAATCCCTCCTATAATAAACTGACACAGTAGTGACAGGAGACGATGAGGGAGGAAACCTGGTTTGGAGTCTTATTAGAACAGGAAACCTGTCAAAGTGTCAGCACAGTGTATCTCATGAAGCTTAAACACAAACACGGCAGACAGGCCGGCTGCCAACACGCTGCAGCTCCTGCACACAAACACAACATGAATCACACTCACTGTTTGCAGCTCAGACTCGTCCCCATTGAGAAAAAGAGGAATTTTTAGTAAGAGTTCAAAGTGAAGCTACACCAGAAAATATTTGTTTTTTATTTTCTAAAAGGTGTTAAATTGTAGTTTGCTTTTCACATTAACCTGCTGAAATCATTGGGAGGATGTGCAAGAATAAATCCATACACACTTTCAATCCAACTTTTTCTGCTGCTGTGAAAATTATACCAACACTAAAGAATACAGACACACAACCAGGAGAAACTAAAGAATCAACCTGTAGAAGGTTACAACATCCTCAATAATCAAGACAACAAACCCAGAAGCTTGTAAAAGCAGAAATCAAGCAGGAGAAGCTAAATCAGTGTTTCTGTACTGGTTTAGCCTCAGGACACTCCACCAACTCTTTAAAGAGAAATTGCAACCCCAATTATCTTTTTACAAATCAAATGTATTTAATGAAAAATTTGGCAAAATATGCAATATGTACCAATTTGTTGATTTTGTTTTTACACAATTATTTTTCCAGGCACATGTTTGCGACCCATGGAAAAAGGCTCTGCGACCCACTTTTGGGTTCAGACCCACCAGTTGAGAAACACTGCGCTAAATTACAACATAAAAACAGGTTAAAATAAGAGATGAAGTTTCACACAGGAGTGATAAACTGTCCTTTAACAGAACAACATTCATCGGTGAAGCATTTATAACCAAAAGATGAGGAAAAAATTAGAAGAAGCAAAAAAAAACAAAAAAAACATGATTAGCTGAAGAACGTGCTCTCTGTTAGTTAAATAATCTCAACTCTATGATTAAAGTAAATATAAAATCTACACGAGTCACTCTGGTCCCATGAGAGGCACAGTCATCCGATTATTTTTGGTTCATCTGTCGGAAAAGGAGCCAGCATTTGTTTAATCAGAAACAATTTGATGAGATATAAATCCAATAGATTTAGATTAGATTAATGATATGAGATTTTATTTTAGATTTGGTGATCTATGTGAGCTGTGTTTGTCCTCTGTGTTTTCTCACATATGTCACATCATCAACAGATTATCTAGACATTTAGTAATGCATTAGTCTAGATCTGAATCATCCTCAAAGTATCAAAAGCAGCAATAATTTAAGGCCGAATTCAACTCAATGACAGAACTTAATGTTTCAACACAATGTTCATCTGATATTATAGTTCAGTCTGGAACAGTCTTTGGGGCTATATGAATAAAATTGTTTCATTGATACTTGTGTTATAATTTAAAATGTAATCTCAGAAATGTACTCTCGTTAAACGGTAACCACAGTTTTAGCGTTTTAGGGCTTCAAAATAAATCACAGAACACATAAATCTGCTGATATTTCACACGGTTTCAAAATAAGAGTTTAAAAAAAATTATCACAATTCCTTTCAGCCTCAGGTGACATTTTAGCGTTAGCATTTTAAGAAACAAAGCACTGGTGTCCCTTTTTTATTTCCTCTAAATCTGAGCAGTTCTAAATGTTGTTTTGTCCTGTTTTGGATCCTTACTAGCTGATATAATAATTAACATATCACTCGTTTACTTTCTATGTTTTGTAGGCTTATTGAAATACATAAACAGACCCCAGTGATAGTACTCATAAACTCATTTTCTTTATTCCCACATTAAATAAAGAGACATCCAGGATTATTTTTTTCCCAGATTTCATCCTGATTTGTAACAAATATTCCTGTTTTAATGATGATTGTGGGTTAAGCACGGTGTGAGAATGTACAGGCCTCAAGGCGAGGACAGAGGGCAGGTTGGTTCATTAATCTTTGTTATTTACAGTCACAATGAGTGGAGGGGGGGGGGCAACAACAACAACAACACGGCAACATATTGCCAAGCAGATTGCCTCAGGCCAAATGTAGCTCGACGTTTTGCTCCGTGTGACAGGCGAACATGTCCGACCTGAGACGGCTGCCACTAATTTGTTATTTCTCTTATTTTTCATTGTGCAGTCATTTACCGCTGTGACAGTTTGCTTTGGTGTAACGATTATGTGCATCTGCTCGTTTTCATCGACCTCCCTCAACATAAATCTCGTAGAAGTATAAACATTGTAAAATACCGTTTGTGGTTCTCACAACTTCCTTGATGATGTCACAGCGATGTCCATGGAGCTCTGACTAATTTAGGGTTGGAATGAAGTTTGTGTGCAAATCGTACAAATTAATTTAATTTTGCCTATTTATTTCCCTCTCTGCCGCCACTATCCTTTCAACTATTAGGTAGCACCTAAATCTTCTTAACTCAATTTTTAAAGGACTCAAAAAGGAGACGTTTGTCCAAAGTCACAATTTAAAGTACTACTGGTACTAATTTAAAGTACTACTTTAAATTGTGTAGTATTACTTTACTTACAAAATGTGTGCAAACTTCTGCATGATGTCAAACTTGCAAAGATAAATGTATTTGCACTATTAGTGTTTGTGTAGTTAGCTTGTCAGGTCATTGCACGTTAGACATGTTAGCATGCATGACTTTGTGTGCAAAGTTTTCATGGACCCAATTCCCTTACTTTGCACGTGTCTCGTTAAATAGTAAAGAATGTATCTACAATGAAATGACTAACAACAGTAAAAATGCCACTTTGACATGAAAAGGAAGCTACTGGCAGCCTCTTGTAACACATCCTTAATGGTCCCACCTCTTACAAAAATAACCAATCATAGCTTAGGATTTCTGGCACCTGGGGTGGCCAGTCAGATTTTAAGGCTGGCTCATGCCACCCCTGGCTGCCCCTCTGCACGCTCCTGGTGATGTCATTTGGGTTATCAGATTTGACTAGGGGACTAAAAGATTTGCTACAAGGCTTTGTTTGAAAAGGTTAGTGTAGACATAAACACTTACCAGACATAGAGGGTGACTGAAAAAAACTTGATGAGTTGCATCATGGGAAATGTAGGATACAGGAGTTTTGCAGGCCATATAACCTGACTTGGTTATTTTTTAGATCGTCTTGACCTCTGCTGCTTCGTTTATGACCTTTTTTTTTTTTTTTCCAGCGTCAATCTATTTTAGATAACTGGTGTGGCCTCTTCAATAAAATATGTGGAACTATTTCAACAAGTCTAATTTGTTTTTGATTGATTTCCCAAACGTAACAGATTAGGATTGAAAATAAAATGCTTTTATTATTGCGAGCCTAAGGTTAAAACCTGAAACAACAAATTATCGTCCCCTGGACAGTCTGGGGAAATGTTAGCAGGTCACAAGGTTACATCCTCTCCTGAACTCTTATTCTGAAATAACCCTGAGTTCTTCTGTGCATAAACATCAGAGAGGCATTCAATAGATTTCCCACGATGCATTGCTGTCATATCTGGGTCAGATGGTGTTACGGCTCTATGTCATATATCTGTACTGCAGCAAGGAATGGAGGACCAGCGTATGTGTGTGTGTGTTGAGGACATTTGGGAATATGGATCTGCGTGGTTTTCCTGAATGAAGGGTGTGTCTGTGTGATCGCCTTCTTTTGTTCCTCTAACACCAAATAAAAGTAAAACATTCATTTTTGAAGTTAAATTTAAATCACTTAAGAATCATTTGCATGTGGTCGACTTAACTCTCAGGGTGACACGAGGCTCTGTTGGGTAACGCAGGCCACTGTCTAACTAATAGTTATCATGTAGAACTCTGACATCAGGGCTTTGGGCAAGATTTCATTGATAGAAAATGTATTGTAAAAAGTTTTCCACCTGCATAGACAGATACTGAAGAATATTCTGTCACATTAGATTGTAAAAACAGAGGGGGTCATCATGAAAGCAGAAAAGAAAGTATGAATGTATTTCTTCTTCTGATTTCTGACATTACCAACAAGTGTAAAACAATCAACACAATTTATGAGAATTAAAAAGAATCAAAATGGATCACAAATTATATGTTTGATTTAATAACAATTCCCATTATATTTAATCATAGATGTAAAATGTATTTACAATTTTCTTCATGAAAATTGTTCTTTTTAATTTAAATCTTAACAACCCAAGGGCTGAATTAACAACAGTGATCATGTTTATGACCACATAGATGCTCGATCAGCCTCGACCCCAAACCTTAACCCCCCCCCCTTAAATCAGAACCTTAAGTTATTTAACAACATGAGGGATCCTGATCAAAATGAATGAATACAAGAAAATAATAAAAAAAATAGTAATAGTAAAGGTTGTAAATTAAATTAGGTTAAAATAAAATATAAAATATCCAACTAAATTATACAATTGAAGTGAAAGAGGAATTAAGAACACAGCAAACATAAAAAGGGTTTGACTTACAGTACATGTGTTTAACAGGTAGAGTCAGTACCTATGTGTAACAAAGGAGTACTAACTTACAGGCTCTGTCTCCAAAAGCGTTAGAAAATCATCCCAGATTTTTTTAACTCCCCTGATTTCCCCCTCAGGTTATACTCTACGTTATCTTTAAATTTGATACTTAGCTCTGTGGAAAACGTTGTATCTGTGATAGAGGTCAAGAATGTATTCAGACATTTGGAAGTCCAGAACATGTGTATCAGTGTGCATCACTTTTGATTCTTGAAAGTCTCTCTGTTGTGGAATTTTGACCTGAATATTAAGTAACTTATTGAAACAACTAAAATGTACACGAGAGGTACAAGAACACACACATTCCACCGGCGAGTGCGTGTGTGTGTGTGTGTCCCCGTCTCCTCATTCCATGAGAGAGTCCACACTGAGCGCGCTCAGCTCACAGGGCAAAAATAATAACATTAAAAATCATCAGCTCAGCGCTAATCCCACCCCGGCCTGTAAACATTTTAATACCGAGGTGATTAGCAGTGATCCTAAACCCCAGACGCCCACCCTCCCTCTCCGCCCTCCCAGACCACGGCTGCACTCCCAGCCCAGCTCTGGCTCACTGTTCTCAGGGGAGGCATCCAGGCGAGTCCCTGGATTAAGGCCACTCGGTGCTTTGGACCCTCGAGCCCCAAAAGTTAAACCCCTGGACGCTCGCCACTTCATTTCTCTAAGTGGCATCAGCCTCCTTGTTATGATTGTTAATTAAAGTTGGATTTAATCAAGTGGCTTGTTGGCAAAGAAGACATTTAAAATGCTGCCATTTATCGTTTTATTCCGCTTTATGGGAGTTGAGTTGAGTGGGATTTTTTGAATTATGGAGTCATGTCTGTCTGTCCGTTACTCTACATACCTACATATATCCTCCTTTATTTCAGTGTGAGAAAGTGAACTGTTGTGTTGGGCAGCGGGGGGAGGGTGCTGATTTTTCAGATGAGCGAGCAGATGTTGCACTTCCTCAAGAGGGATTTATGTCAGATAGGAACACACACACACACACACACACACACACACACACACACACACACACACACACACACACAAATGCAGTGTGTTAGTATGTATGCATTTCAACAGCATGTACTTACTGTTAAGACAAGGGACAGAGGCTGAGAGAAAACACACTTTTATCAAGCTGCTACATGAATAATTGAAGGCATGGTTACAGTGATGGAATGAATTATATTTTTCCATTTATGTCTTATATCCATATATGTCCTGTTTGTGTAATATAACTGCTTTCCATGTTTAAAGGGAGACGATGAAACAAATAAGAAATTACACTATTTTCCTGTTTTAGCTGTTGCAGTCTTTCTGGATCATATACTGTAAGGCCAGAGCTCCGCACCTTCATGCACACAAACATGTTAATGCACACAACAAAGGAGGGGAACGATCCCTTAGCTCATCGACTAAGTTCATGATCCACACCATGAAGACAGCCTCTCTAAGGATGCAGGAAGCCAGAAGAGAGACTGTGTCTCCCTGTTAATATTTTGACAGTTTATGTTGAAAAAAAAATTGAGCATGCGTCATATAGTCAATGGGTAGCAACAGCCTCGAGAACTAAGCTTTGATTGATTTACACTCATGGGGCAAAAAAGAAGTAACAACATGTTTCCTCCTGTTTTGACGCTACTGATCAACTCAGACCAGTGCACCCAACCAGTGCATGTTCATGTTTTAGGTTTGGTAATATTGAGTACGGTAGGCCATAACAAATTTCTGAATGCTGACGCAACTCTAGAACAGTATAATATTCATATTATAAATATAATTTAATTGACACTTAGGATCTTTTATGGTTATGTGATCATTTTTCATAGAATAATTAAAACATAGTAGGACGTAGTTTGAAGTCAAATGACGGTGGGCACCATCCTGGAAATGCTATCTCAATTTAACTGTCAGTCCATCTGGAAACAGGCAAAGAGGTGGAACTGATGTGGGCCTTAAAGGCATCATATGAGGGTTAGATAGACTTTTGTGTAGCTTTGTCTTGAACCACCATTCAACTTTTGAAAATGAATCCATTACTGCAAAATTCAAACCAAAATCCATGTCATGACAATAAAGAAAACCATGCCTGTTCATTTGAACTTTACCCACAATGCACTAAGAGAAGATTGGAGTGAAAGTCACTTTGGTCCAAACAGCATGGTTGATTTCTATTTTCTGTCACATCACCAGCTTCTAACTCGGTACATTTGCTGTTTGGACTGGGTTAACATTGTCCTGGGGGTCTGTTATTGTGTTCACCTCTTTTAGCAAGCGCCTTCTTCTAAGCCGCCTCTCAGTCTCCAAGCCAACATCAAAGACGAGACACAGCAGATCAGAAAAGCCAGTCAGAAGCCGTCTGCAGTCCTGATCCGCAGCTCAAACCTGCGCCGAGCTGGCAGCATTAAAGACCTGATCAGTAAATTCTCTGGTCCAGAACAAGACTCCTCTCCACAGAGCCTCTCCTCTGGATCCCCAAAGTCTGCTGAGGTTCCAGAGTCCTCAAAGTCCTCAAAGTCCAAGTCGAGTCCCACTACTCTGAGCAGCGTTGGACAAGATAGGAGTCCAGTCCCCAGCATCTCTGTGACCCCTCCGAGCCAGCAAACCAGTCAGAACGGGGCTGAATCGGCTCAGAATGGCAACAAATCAAGTCAGATAACTGCAAGAATGGATTGTCCAGTGGGGGGCAGCACTGAGAAGAGTGACTCAGAAGCTAAGAGGGAAACACAAACGGCAGACTCTGGTAGAGAGTCGGTGGCAGACTCGGGTATTGGATCGGTAAGCAAAATCTAAATGCGGACCGACCGTTCTGATGTCTTCGCTTGAAAGGAAAATCTCTGCATCCCTCTGCATGAGGACAGCACCACAGCATGGCACTGCAGGTGCTAAATTGTATCTCCTTGCATGATTAAAGCACCCTTCTCAATCTGGATAAGGACTCGAAAGCATGAAACAATGACAAGATTTTACAGCCAGCATTGAATCACACTAATCTAAATGGCCTCAAACACCAAATTTTCTTTGATTCCTTTTCCTGCATCACATGTTGCATTATTCATCTTTGATCTAATACAATAAGACGATCCCTCACATTATCACGGTGTTGATCATAACTGAGAATGATTTGGACAGAACTGAATTTTTACACTCTGTCGGGGTTACATTTCTGTCGGTGAGAAACTGTATGTTTCACAGCTTAAAGTGAAGTTATTCTGCCCTCTAGTGGCCAGAAAATACTTAACTGCAGCTGTAATGAAACTCCAGTCAGCAAATTGTTGAGGACATTATTTTGAAATGAACTGAATGAAAAGTTGATTTCCATTGTTTCATGAAATTGTTGTTCAATCATTGTGCTAATCTACACAGTATCTCTTCTTCCAGCAGGATTTAACATTTGCCGTCTTTAATTGAGATCATTAATTTGAACATTTGTAACTTTTTCGCTCTTTGTTAATTTTATGAATACCTCTTTGAAATCGTCTTTTTTATTGTTTTTATTGATCTGCTCTCTTGGTGATCAATAACAACCCAAACACATACTCAGTGAAATCATCCTGAGTGTTTTCACCCATCTTGCATATGTGTGTGTGTTTTTGTGTCATCCATGTTTGTTTCATTCCTCCCTCTTCCCTTCTGCCCCTTTCCTCCAGGAGTCAGAATTAGATACAAACAAGCAGCCAGAGAGCCCGTCAGAGGACGAGCCCACCACACCGAAGCCGGTATCAACCAGCCAGAACCCGAAATATCAGCTGTTCGTCAACAACGAGATGAAGACCAACGGGGTGGGCGGCAGGGATGCAGATGGTCCGGGAGGAGGCGGGCCGATGGGGGAGAACGGCCCCAGGCTGGCCCAGTGGGAGCAAGGCCGGCTGAAGAAGAACCACTTTCGAGGGTCAATGGAGTCCCTAGTCTCACGGGACTTGGACACATCGTCTGACAGGGTGGGTGAGGTCGACCTGGGACTGTGATTGTGTGTGAATCGGATCAGGGAGATTAGAGACAGTTTTATGATGATAACATGATGGATGTCTTTTATCTGTGAGTCCAGAAACACAAAACCACTTATATAACAGTGCCATCTACTGGACCAAATGCATTTCCTCTTTTTGTCCATGCACTGCAAAAACACCCCTATCAAGATAAAATATGTCTACTGAGAGAAGTCTGTTCTGGACTCTATCCTGGTGATAAAACCTTAAAGTACTGCATAACAGAACTTATGTAACAGTCTAAAGTTTTGTTACAATAAAATGAGAGGAAAATCTGCTGATGTGTTGAGAAGCTATTATTAAGTATAATTCTAATCTAATTATTTATTTCCATTAGAAAAAAAGATTTTGCAAATGGAAATCAAAGTTACAGCTAATATAAATTCAGATAAATGTGATAAAATAACAGATTTTAATCCAGATTTGTCACAATTAGAAGTTTACAACATTTTCTTTACTTATGTAAATTTCATTTTTGCAATCAAACAGAGAAAACATTTTTTTATCCAAATTGACAAATATGACTCAATCTACGCCTCTGAGTTATTCTTCAGTCTGCAATTTGATTTACTTCTTTTTTTTTACTTTGTATTTGTTTTTGTTTCTTTGGTGTTTTTTTCTGTGGTTAATCATTTTTGTGTTTTTGTTTTCAGGTGGGCATTTATGAAAACGCTTCCCCTCACAGGGTATTCAACAGTCCATACTCCACCTCTATGGATTACAACCCCTCACTCCGCATGTCCAAGGTTATGATCTTTTCACTATTAGTTTATGAAAGACTATCCCTACACATCTATGTACCACCTGTATTTTGTTTGCTCTATTCTTCCTCCATGTTTAGGTGTTAGAAACTATTTTAACATCAGAAATGAAAGAAGAAAATGTCAATCGACAAATGAATAACCAAACCTTTTGTGAGAGGATAGAATGTATTTCCACCTCCAACGCTGATGTTAAGATGCAGGTTCAGCATCACCAGCAGGTCTTATAGACTCAGTGTAAAGCTCAGGAGTATTTGAAAAGCTTGAAAAACACAGATGCGAGCTTCCAGCACAATCACAGTCTTTTATAATCTGATGCACAGGCAGTGACTGACCCTCATCTGTGCCTCTTCAGACTTTTCAGTCTGGACTTTCTCCTGCCACCTCCGAGATGAACCTCTACGGCTTCAACAATCGCAGCACCAGTCCAGTGGGCCTGCCTACGCCCACCCTCACCCACTCCCGCCCCCGATACTCCGCCTACGACACCCTGTTAAAGAGAAGGAACGAGGCCAACATCCCTGTACGTTAACACCGCTCAGACTTGCACACAAATACAGAAACCAAAAATTGTGTCATATTCAATTTAGTTTCTGTCAAGTTTTGTCCAAAGGCAGAATCTGTTTTCAACTCTTATACAGTTACATCAGTAATAGGCTAATATCAGCTGGCCGAGACATTGGTCAGCTTCAAAGGTTGATTTTTTATGTTCATGTTATTTGATTTTAAAAGCAGCAGCAGCAGCAGCAGCAGCAGCAGCAGCAGCATCAGCAGCAGCAGATGATGACAACCCACTACAGCCTGCGCTCTGCCACTATGGGAGCCCCCAATAGAAAGGACTACATAGAGGAGTTAACCAAGCAGCTGGACGCCTGTCAGAGGGTAAGCATCATCTCGTCACTTTTAACACAAGCACAAAGCTGCAGATGCCTGATAGTTGTCAGAGTGTACTGAATGTTGGGAAATGGAGCTACAGACACACTGTAGATGTGTCATAAAGTGGCTTCAGAGGTTTTGAGCCACAATGTCTTCTTCTAGGTGGTTCAAACATTTGTGGCTTTAACCGATGCTATTTGGTACTTTCTCCATTCAGCGCAACCATTTCCTGGAGGCAGAGAGTGTGGAGATGGATAAGGAGAGGAACCAGATCAGGTTGGATATTTTGATATTTTTATTTGATTATAATTATGATTTTGGTTATTTTTTAATTTACTGTCGCTCCAGCCTATCTTCTAAATGGTCTTATTTACAGTACTCTATAAAGTAATCATTTTTAAAGGAAACTAACACAAGCCATCTAACGACCTTGCTTCCTCTAAAGGTTAGAAATGCGTAACCTGCTGGTGAACAACGAGGACCTGCTGAGGAACAACACTCAGCTGAACAACGAGATGAAGAGGCTGAGAGAGCAGATGATAGAGATGGACAGAGAGAAACAAACCATTGCCGGGAGATTCAGAGAGATGGAGGTGTGAGCAGAAGATGAATGGATGGATGAATGAATGAGTGGATGAATGGATGGATGGATGGATGGATGGATGGATGGATGGATGGATGGATGGATGGATGGATGATGGATGAATGGATGGATGGATGGATGGATGTTTGGATGTTTGGATGTTTGGATGGATGGAGGGACAGAATTATCCTAAAGCCTGGGCATTTGCATGACAAACTGTTTTCATGATTTGTGCAGATTGAGGTGAAGGAGGCTCGAGAGGTGATGGTGGAGGCCAACACCCAGGAGTACGCCTTCAATTTCCTCCAGCAGTCGCTCCAAAACAGGCTAAAGGATGCTGAGGTACACTGAGTTACATTGCTGCATTTAAAATAAAAAACCTAAACTGAGATAATTGTTTCCATGTCCAAATCATGACAAGCCTCTTTATCCCAATGTTTGGTTGAAGGTATTCAGGAAATGTTGTCTGAGCTCTAGTAAAGCAATCATTTTTTCAATTGAAATTAAACTTATTTGATATTATATGGGTTATTTTGTCTTTGAGAAGTTGTAAAGGAGGGTACTCCATCGGGGGACTGCTGTCACCATGACCTTACTGCATTTTATGGATTAATTCTGCAGTAAGGTAACCAGCAACAAATCCACTCTTTCTTGAATTCTGAAGTCTGTGACTAAAATACCTTTCTTTGTAGAACAAAAAAGGAGTAGTCAAAGTATTACAGTCTTTTGAAAGTATTTTGGCAGCATGATAAAGAAATGTTAATAAGGAAGTAGAGCTCTGAACTCTCCATCGTTTTGTGTTGTGATGTGTTCAGGAGAGCCTGGAGAAGGAGACACTGCACTCACAGACTCTTAGTGATAAGTTGTGGCATGCAGAGAGGCAGCTGGAGGAGCTGGAGGTCGACCAAGGCACCAAAAACAAGAAGACATCAGAACTCAACAGCACCATCCTCAGACTGGAGACAGAGGTACACAGACAGAGATGTTATTTGACCTTTACAGGCCTGTAAAAGAAGAATGCAATTTGTGAAGGTTAATATATTTGGTTTAGGTTGATGAGACGGAATTTCATTAAGATGATTTATCTATGAATGACAAGAAAACCTAACCGATTTAAACCCAAATAATATTCAGATAGATGAGGGACAAAGTGCATTGTATTGCATCATATTGTATTGTATCCTATCCTATCCTATCATTTGTAGAGTCCAATTGAGTGTCTTCAAATAAGAGTTGTTATAGTATTACACTCTTTATACTTTTTTGTATAAACTGCACATTACATCTTCCGTTCCATTGACCTCCCTTTAGATTTTTTAAATTAAAATTGTGGCTGGCAGACAGATAGTTACTATATGTAAAGTTTAGCTTCATCTGTATATCGTGATACAATACAGCCAAACCTGTAACGAAGAAGTGAGGTAAAGTAAAGTAGGTCCCAGCATAGAGCCCTGAGGAACTCCAAAGGCTTGAGATCAATCCCAGAAATCTTTTCATCACCTCTTTGTTGTTCATGTTTTTAATACGGTACAAAACGACATAGGCAGCAATGTTATATGAAAGCAATGTATGATTTTGATTCCTTTCAAGGCTTACTATATATTCGGAAATTATTTTTGTCCCTGTAAATAAACAGTAAAATTAACAGTTTTCATTCTTTGAAAAGTATTTAAAAATCCCATGTAATTTATTCTGAGAATTATTTTATATGCATTTGTGGGCAATGACCAAGGTCAACATTTCTGATGCTGTGTGTATGAACCTGTAAATGTAAACATTTGTTTTTTGTGTGTGTTTCCAGCTGGCTGATGCCCTGCAGGTGTCCACACAGGCTACAGTAGAGATGAACCTTCAGCAGAAGCTGCGTGATGACGTGCAACAGAGGGTGGAGGAGCTGGAGGAGACTCTGCTGGAGAAGGAGCAGGAGCTGCAGAGACTACAGTCAATTGTCAACAGACTACAGGGAGAGGTATGTCCACCAGATTGCCATCCATTGAATACTACACATTTAAGAACCTATCTTGTGCTGTTAATGCTGTTGTATTAGTTAAACAAACTGAGTGATTTAAAGCTTCAAACAGCAGAGAATACTTTTGGAACAATGTGTTTTTTTGAGAGTTTTTTCATGTGTGTGTGTGTGCAGGTCTCTGGTAAACTCATTGATAAGGAGCGCACACTGGAGGAGGAGATCCAGCTGAGAGAGAGGATCCAGCTGCAGTGTAAGCAGGCAGAGAGGACCGTGGATGACCTCCAAATGGAGCTGCAGACCACCAACCAGACCAAAGAGGACCTGGCCAAACAACTCAAACAGGCTCAGGTAAACCATCAAGTGTTAATATGCAGGTTCAACGTGTTTCAGATATAATGTAAAAGAAATCAAAATTGTAAATGTAGAATTTATGGCAGAACTGTCATATTTAGTATCACCCTTGGTAAGATTTTAGACTTAAAAATGTCACACACCTTCCTCTCTTTATTTGGTATAATTTAAATAAGTTGCTATATTAGAGAGTATCCACAGAGGGAGAACATACAGTACATGACCTGATGATTCAAACAGAGATGTCCACTTGAATTAATCAGTCATGCAAATCATTAGAGTTTGGGGTTAATGAGGCATTAATTATGCAAATCCTGTTTAGCAATCAACTCGCTAATTCCATAATCCCAAATGTTCATCACGTTGCTATTTCTGAAGATAGTTAATCTGTCCCATTTCTGAATAACCTGAATGTGTTCTGCTGACAGTTGTCATCAAGCAGAGTGACCTTAGATCACAGGCTGTTGGGAACAACGTTATTTTAGTTGTTTGGAAGATGTTTGAATTCTGTTTTTACCTGGTCTTATTTCAGGAGAAGATGATCGACCTGGAGACCGATCTGGAGGAGCTGCATGACAGCGAGCAGAGGTGGGCCGCCAAGCACAAGAGAGCCATCGAACAGGTAATCAGAGTGGAAATGGAAGGTGTTATTTAAACACTGACGGATAATTCACCATCAATTACTTTAACCGGAATTGAGTGTTGGCTTGTTCTTGAGACATTTCTGCATTTTCCCATCAGACCGAGCAGCTGCAGTTGAAGCTGATTCAAGAGAAAGATCTGATCGACATTATGGAGACTGACAAGATCTCCATGGAGAGACAGGTACTGTGCAGTCGTGGAGCGATTTAAAATAATACTTTGTTAAAGTGTATACAAATTAAAATAGAGAAACAATAATAAGCAAGCAAAGTGCCTGTAAGAGCCGATCTCAAATCAAAGTTCTCTCTTAATCTGTCTGTAGCTGCGTGAGCTGCGTCTGGAGATTGAGGAGCTTCAGAGCTCTAGAGTTCAGGAGGACGTCATCTCCAGGGCGGAGATCCGAGTCAAAGAGCTGGAGAACAGTCTGAGGGCCGAGGAGAGGTCAGTCACATGAAAAATCTTCTTTTTTTCTCTTTATATCCTAAGCTGTCTTCACACCTGTAGCTCGAATCATTTATTCAGGACCAGGAAAGGAAATTATTTGAAAAAAGGAAACTATTCATAAAAATTCACACATATTACAGACAGAAGGACAGTCATGGTTCTGGTTTCTTTTTTTTTTTTTGATCCAGTTGTAGAATCATGTGTTTGTGTTTGGTTGCAGGAGCAAATCAGTTCTGGCCAACAGTGTCAGCAAACTGGAGAGGAAGATCAATGAGCTCAGCGACCAGATGGAGGAGGAACACAGGATAGCCAATGAGCAGAAAGAACTGGTACACAAGAACTCACACACTTGCCCCACATGATGGCAGTATAACAAAAACAAAGTCTAATCGGGTGCAGTCATATTTAAACCATCTGATCTTCAGTTTTAACTGCCTTGAATAAGCATCATTACAATAAAACGGCTCATAAAACGTCACATAAAAGATTTAAGAAAAAAACTGAAATTCTGGTGTTAGCTTTTGGAATCAATGGGATGTGCTTTATTTTTCATAGTTTTAGACCTAATTTAATCATAAATATACGAAAAGAACTGTACACGTGTCACAAGTACACTCAATCAAAAGGGACAATATTTATCATTAATCTGGATTCACTATACGACTTTCTGACTACACAATTTTCTAATTTGATTAGAGGTATGAGGTTGAAGTCAAATTATGAATAAATAATATTCTTTAAATTAAATTATCTGACAACAAAAATGTTCATTTTATTCTTGTTGTTTCTTTATACATTCAAGTAATCCATTCTAATTGTGAGGTTTTATAGTTATGGAAAACAAAATGCATTTTTTATTTATAGAAAGTGACACTGATATCATATAAAAAAGATCTGTTTAGAAAATTTTATCAGCTACTGACGCAAGAAACGTAATGATGTCAAACAAGAGAAGTCAAAAGTGGATAGTGTCCTCTGCTGGTTACAAAGAGTATTGCAATATATTATATATGCAATATATTTGTCTCATCGATTTGAATCGTCCCTGTTTTGTATGGACATTTAATTGTATCACAAGGTATAGTTACATCCTTTCATCAGACAGTGTGTGATTCTGTCCTGCTGAGTGTTTAAACTCTGTGATTGCTCCTTCAGATGGCTCAGAGGATCCGCTCGCTGAAGCGTCAGCTGAACGAGGCCGAAGAGGAGGCGAGCAGGAAAGAGGCGCAGTACCGCCACACCCAGAGAGAGCTGGCAGAGGAGAGGGAGACGAGCGGGCGGCTGCAGAGGCAGGTGCTCGACCAGCATATACAGACAAAGTACGTGATCTGATACACATTATTGACCATGATGTGTATTACTCTTGTTTCTCTCTTGTCTTTATGACCAAGAAAAAATGAAGAGAAGGAAATATTTTGTGAGTGTAACAGCAATAAAAAAGTAGTTTTCTAAGAATGTTTCTTAACCCATTTTGGTCCAACATAAAGTTTTTTTAGGCCTCTCTTTAACCTGTTCTTGAGTCATACATGGAGGGAATACTACCTTCAAGAACAGACCTACAGTAGTAAATGGATATACAGATTTGTTTCTTACTTGCCTCTTGTACAGGTCACAGCAGTGACTTTCAGGGTCGGTATGTAAACAACATGTCCCTCTGTCACAGGCGTAAGGACACGCTGACCATCCGTCAGACTCTGGACAACCTGAGGTTGGACCTGAGTGTCGACGACGAAGATGAAGAGAATCCGCCGGAGGAACAAACACCAAGCCAAGTCACTAAAGTCTAAACAATCACACTTCAGCTCATGGAACAGGCAACAGTGCAGTTAGGATGCGTTTAAATGGTGATTTTTTTTTGTTAACTGCCACCAAAACCAACAATAATGGAGAAGAGGAAGAAGCCTGTTGTATGAGACAAAACAAATCTCCAGTCAAATTCTCAGGACTAAAGAATGACCGAAGAAGTGACATTAGATTCTCATTTTAGCCATTTGGGGGCAGGGCGTTTTTTTTTTTAATCTATTTTTTTAACCAGGATGTTTTCTTGAACAATGGATGCCTTTTCTTGAAGTTCAATTGTAAATTAACTTTTATCTTTATCTTTTTTTAACCAAGCGTATATTATCCTAATGATCTCCTACAAAGCGTCCCAAACAAAAGAAAGGTATGTGGTCCAATAAGAAACATGAAAAGATTGTTATATTTTTCTGCAAAAATCTTCAGTATGCTTCACTATTTTCCTTTTATGTGCTGAATTTGAAGCCTGCTTGTAGAATAATTGGGGGGAAAAAAAGCTTGACCATCATATTTTCTCCTTTTCTTTTCCATAGAATATTTATAAGAATTTGTTAGTTTACCTTGGTGCAATAAGATGTAGAGGGAAACTTACTGGTGAAAGGACATTTTATTATCGTAGCAACAGATCGCTGGAGTCTGTTCCAGCGAGCTTTTGAACAGTGAACCGTCCAGGAAGACGTCTTCATTTTGTGCTCCACAGATTGCGTACCGTATAAGCATTTAAGTTGAAATAATACTTTTAACTCCCACAGACTTTATGGAAGATATTTGGAACAGATCACATTGCATACGTTTCTGCAATATTTTCTAGAAGAGACTCCTTGGCCATCTTCTCTGATTGAGCACAGTTTGTTTTTTAGGTGTGATTTTCTATACTAGAAGCTGTGTAGTTTAACATGTACAACACTTTCCAAATGCATCACATGAACATATTCCCCATTCTACGCTGCCATATCACAGGGTACTAACACACATCACGGTGTGACTGTGGACGAGGGGATCTCTGGACTTTAACTGCTGAAACAAAAAGGAGATTATTTATATCGAACACTTTTTTGTGTTTGTGTTGTTTTTATGATTTCTGATATTTTTCCATGTTCTGTACTTGAGATGTTTGAGGGGTATAATATTAGAGTTTAGTTTGAGGTATTTTAGAGGGTTGGCTGCTGTATTATTTAAACTCACTGTGCCTTCCACTTACAGTATCTGTTCATGAAAGGATTGTTTTGTCAGCAAAGACGACGACAGAAAAGGAAATGCAACTCATCACTTTGCCTTTGTTTGTGTGTCTTTGTTAAGCTGTAAAATGTGCAAATTAGGACGTTTTAGCTCTCAAAAGTATGAACAAATGTCTCACCACAGTTTGGATCAAAGATATGTGTCAATGCAAAGTGATGAAGTGAACAAAATGGCATTAAAAGACAGCTTTCATGCCACGCTGTTGTCTTAGTTAATGTCCTGTTTGCTCTTATAATAAGATAACTAGGTGTACAGAGAGAGGCAAACAGGGCTAGGCTGTTTAATTCAAACCAATGGATATTCACTGATTCTCAAAAAGTTCATAAAGACTCAAAGTTGAGGGGATAATCCTCCCCTTTCTCATTGAAACTGAAATGAGCCCAGCTCTGCTCTGCATGCTTCATCAAAGGCTGTGGTAAACACTTAAAGCTCCTTTTAAGACAAATATGTTCTGTTTACATTGGTTGGTGTATTTGGCTTTTTTTGGAAACAGGAGAATAAATCTTCTGTTTGTGTCTATAGAAAGGTTTTTATAATTCAGCTGTTGGGGAGTAGAATTGCTGCAGAGTGTCACTGGTGTCTTTTTTTGTTGTTTAACAGAGGAGGTTGACAGTGTCTACACATATGTAAAAAAGAAATAGAATACACTTGACTTATTTTTGTAACTACACTTCACATTCTGCTGGCTCTGCTGTTCTCGGGTATTTATTTTTGTTGTTCATGTTCTCTTTATTTTGGTGAGAAGTTTCTACACAACGGAAATAAACTCTTCTCCACTGTAAATTCTGGATGTAGTGTTTTTTTTGTCTTAAATAGTCTCCATTATTTTTGCTTTGATTACGAAAGCCCTAAGCAGACATTCATCAACACTTTTCTGGAGAACACAAATGATTAAAGGTAACATATTAACATATTCTCCTCCTTTTCAACCAGTTTAAATAAGTCTCAGAGCTCCCCAAAACATGTGTGAAGTTTCTTGTTCTAAATCCACTCTGATCCTGTATTTGATCATGCCTATAAATCCCTCTATTTCAGCCCTGCTCAGAACAGGCTGTTTCTGTGTCTGTAGCTTTAAATATGTAAATGAGCTGTGTCTGACCACGCCCCCTCTTTGGAAGGACTTGGGTGGCTCGGGTTTTCTTGCTCCATGCCCTATCGGGCAGAACAAACACCTAGCTGTGGGAGTGTCACCCACCTGGGGGAAGGGTTACTGCCCTTTGTGATATCATGAAGGGAAACTCTCCAAATGGCCTGTTTGAGCACACATTTTCTGAAAAGTGGAGCAGGCAAAAGACAGAGAGGATAGACTTTTCTCATAATTTGGGTGTAAGTAGCTCCCGCAGTAGCTCAGTCTGTAGGGACTTGGGTTGGGAACTGGAGGCCAGATCACTTCCTGAGCACTGCCGAGGTGCCCCTGAGCAAGGCACCAAACCCCCTCCCACCATCAGCTCTGTAGCGCCCGCTGTGGGCCCAGCCCTCTGACATCTCTCCCTTAGTGCATGTCCATAGCATCCTGTTTCTGCATGTGTGTATATTTCAGCCTATGTGTGTGTTGCATGGTTAACAGATAGTAAAAACAGAAATGTCCCCTTGCGGGGATCAATAAAGTAAATCTTAATCTTAAACAGGCAAGGGACACATATTAGTGTTAGAGAAACATGGTGAAGTGTATTTTGAATAATATGTGACTTTTAAATGCCTTATCTCTCGACAAAAAACGCTGGTTTTCTTATGATAACGGGTTCATTTCCACTGATTCATTGAGATCTTGAGAAATAATCTCCGCTTATCTAAAAAAGTTCACTGCAAAAAATGATACAACTAATCAGAAAAATTAACACTTGGACATGAATCAGCATAATAACCAACTTTCATGACAGAAGGCGGGTTTGATTGAAAAATAGTTTAAATGTTTTCACTTTAAAGTTTGACCCATCTGTCAAGACGAAAGAGGCGGGGTTTAAGACCTATACTGTATCTAAGCAGCAGGGGGAGCGCTGAATATTTTGGCATCACTGTTGTCTGTCCCTTTGTATATATAGTCTATGGTCAAAGTCTTTGGTTTTTGTAAAGTATTACCAATATTCTATTGTTAAGGAGTTGTTTTAGCGCTTTTTACATTTAAGTTCAGGTTAAATTTTCTTATTTTTTTCTTCAATAAATCCACACAGCTGTCACTATAGCCAAGCAAACATCCCAAAGAAGAATGAAACGAGGATAAAACAAACACAAATTTATTTGCAGCTCGGACATTAGAAACATTAAACACATCGCAGGTCATTTCATTCTCAATGTGTCAAACATGCTGACGGTGCAACAAACACACACAGGCATCAAAACACACGGTGAAATCAGAAGAGAAACGAGTACAAACTGCAGGCATCAGAGAGAACTCCACACAGAGGATTTCCAAAAATAAAAACTCTTAGAGGTACTTGGATTGAGTCATTATTTTCTTATAGTATATCTGGCACACAAAACAACATCTTGATTTCTGGTGTCTTTTGTCTCTGCTTTGAAATCTATGATCAATAATGCATTAAAATATCCAGTAGGTAGCTCACAAACTTTTACAGAAGATCAGATAGAAGAGTTAAGAACAGGCACGACACTGTCTCCTCAAATCATGTAAACTTTCAGAGTGAATACAAACACGATTAAAAATCATTCAAGACTCGTGGGATAGATGCTTCATGGAAAACATGGCACAAGGAAGCGAAAATCAACATCATGTCAGTTAATGTGAGATGTGACTGAATACAGATTATATGAGCAAAAAGGCATCAGATGATGAACTCAAAATCAATTCTGAGCGAGTATAATGAGCAACGTATAAAAGTCTTGATAAAGCTGACAAATTGGTTCAGAGGATTGTCACAATTTAAAGGCATCAGTTTGAGATAGTAAGGAAAATGGACGTCCATAACGAGAGGATTGGAAATTTAGAGCCAGTGTTTTAAAGTAGGCCTGCACGATAAGGGGAATATATGCAATGGGCGATAACACGGTTTAAAATTGCGCTAACGAGACTATGCAACTCAGTTTTTCTCTCTTTTCATAATCCGTCAGATGTCACACAGCACTTGTGTTTCTGAGATGTCTGACCTTCACATCCAAAGTGGCACCAATGTATCAGAGCGTAGCGTCTAGGCAGCTGCTAGCTAGCATCTGACTGTATCTAAATGGTGTTAAAGCATGGTCATTGTTCCCAAGCCTCCTTCTGATGTGTCAAATGAATACATGCTGAGTGAGAACGTTTTGCTTGTTGCTATGAAATAATTCATTTTTATTTATCGCAATAAATTCAATGAATTTGCGATTAATTGTGCAGCTATAAAAAGACTGATAAATCTCCGTTAACTATTATTTTCATGGGTTCATTTTGTTTCCTTGACTCACTTAATCTGAGCTGTAAGGCAGATCTTAAAGATTGATTTCTGTTTCTTTCTTTTTTCCTTCATTGTGAAAAAAAAGTAATTCAAATACTCATTACACATGAAACGTTTGCTGTATATACCGTTAAACTTCAACTAGCCTATTAGCCCGGGCTTTTATTTCCTTCCGTTTATAAAACGAGCCTGTCTTTTTTTGGTACAGGCGTCACTAAGAGACTAAATTCATGCACAGCAAATATTGGACAGACTTTCAAATTGTAAAATTAAGTAAAAAGAATATTTAACTTAACTCAACACATTAAATTAAAAATCCTTTATTTGATTTGATCTTTGTTTAGCTTTGACAGCCCAACCATGCCCACCTGCTGGACGGTGGAAGAGAGAGGGAGACCCCCTTGTTAATATATTTTGACCCGCAAACTAAACAACACTTAATGCACAGAGGCCTCTAATTGAGACCTGCATTTATTTGTTAAAATGTGCAGCAACATCAGGCTAGTAAAAGGGACTGGGCCTTAAATTGGGATGGGCTTTTATTTGAAGATTTACGGTAAAACTAAATTGATGATCTTTTATCTTGCAACTTCAAAGTTCAATGTATCTGCAATCACGTTGTGTTACATAAAGAAACTGACAAATGTCCGACTACAGGTCCTCAAAGTTCAAAATACATCCTGACAGCCCTGCTTTTGTGTTTCATACTGATGGTGTACAAAGTTATCATTTCACTGGAGAATGAAAAAAAAAAATGACAGGAGAAATTTACCCGAAATGGAATGATGCAACTCTGTACAATATTTTAACCTCTTTTAGCTCATTGTTTTGTTTTTAGAGTCTTAGTAAACCTCTTTCTAAGTTAAAAGGCTGACAATTTCAGCTTGATAACCCACTGTTTATACCTGCCCCGCATCAAACAGCAAGACGACAAAGTCAACCATGAGCTGGTAATATAAGTCTACCAACAAGAGAGCTCTTTTATACACTGGTGGAAAAATTATTTTTTTATTTGCAACTCTAAACGTATATAAGGTGATGCCGAGGCCTTTCTCTGCTTGTGTCACTGTCATCAAGAATATAAATATCAGTCATGCAGCTTCAAACAACTTTAGGGTCAAATGTGATATAACTGACATATCGCCTGCATAATGTTACAGGACGTGACTCATGAAGGCAAGTTGCATAAGTGTTCAGAAATAAGTAAATAAACAAAATAACCTGACCTTCTATTGAAGTAATACTTACAAACTTGAAGTTCAATTAGTGAACTGTGAATCAACTGAGAAACCATGAAAACAAATCTTAAAAGATACACCATTATCTGTGGACATTATCCAGTGTAACGCTGATGAGAAACTGGCAGAGAATGTAACAACGTGAGCCCTCTCCTTGTTTCATTGTGATCAGCGTATTAACAGCAGTGGGTGTTTAATATGGCACTGAGATCAGCTGCTGGCAGACGACTCTGCGTGGCTGTTCAACAACAACAACAATGAGAAACACAAAATAAAATAAAAACACATTCTCGTTGGTAATTTTCTCAGCAGAACGAGGGATGAGTTTGTTTTAAAAAAAACACTTTGTGATATCTGTTTTTTGGCACAGCGGCAGATCAAATATAGGTGACACCAGGTGAAATCAAAGATCTATTACACCTTAACAGTGTTGTTTTTTATGGATTCAGAGAGCACAATACTGACTGATAAAAGTAATGTATGCACTATTGAAACATCAAATGATGTGATTTTGTAATCTTTATAAAATGCGGCAGCTTTAGGTTGGAAATGTTGTGTAAACTGAAGGATGACACGATGGTTAATCTGCCAACATTTGTAAAGTAAAAAGATAATTCCTCTTGTACACGCTGCACCTCGAGTTGACTGAACATGTTTTGTGATGTAAGGCAGATCAAGGTAATACTCGATGTTAGTAAAGAAGGTGGGTCGCACTTAAAACTAAAGACAACATCTTCGAATCCAAGCTGAATGAACCCTTAAAAAAAAAGTCAATTTGGATATTTTTTTGTCAAACTGATGCTGAGCTGTGCTCTTGCATGGCATCCTCGTAAAAAAACAATAACTGAGCCTTTCAAACTGAACTGAGTTGAAACTGTAGCATGATTTCATGAGCAAAAAACAATGTAGTGTTCAGCAAAAAAAAAAGAACATGACAAAAAATTGGTCCACAGATTTCTCAAGGGGCTCTATTCAAACCATTTATAATTAATAATCAACATTGTATATATTTATCACTGTAGCACTTAAAGGGAGTGTAAAACTACACTTTTGCTCGTTAAATGTTACAAAATGTGATGCAAACTAAAGAGGGAGAGGCCAGAAGGTGTATTCAGACACCTTATTATTTGTATTTGTGTTCTGAGTGGAACTTGAATCCAGCCAATCACAGAGGCAGTCGCCCGTTCCCTTTCAAAGCAGCGAGTTTTGCATGTTGCAAACAAGGTAAAGGAGCAAATGGCTCTCTGCTGAGGGAACAGATCTGCTTATGCACATGGGGAAGGCGCGCCAGCAGGACATCTACAGGAGCAGCAGGAATTCACCAAAGCTCCCTGAGGTGACATAGCTGAGGGAGAAGGTGTCAGTGGGCCATTCCTGGCTCCACCAGGACACCTGTATCAGTTTGCTGATGTCAGAAGACAGGTTGCTGAGTGTGAGGAACACACAAGGTACAAGCTTCCTGGATCCGTCCCTATAGAGGGTGTGTCACTTTTTTAAACATTTTGTAGAAGAATGCGTTTGGTTTTTTTAGTTTTTTTTTTTTTTTTTTTTTGGGGGGGGGGGGGGGGGTTAAGAGCACTAGGCAATGAAAAAATGAAACAAACCAAAATAAAACTTCAGATAAATTTCTTTTATAGACATGGTAACTAAAAAAAAGAAATTGAAGTGTGAGATATAAAGAATACAACTAAAATATGACAACACAAATAATAATACGTTTGTTTTAATATAAATATTTTAACAACATTGGTCATATATGTGGCCTTAAAGTGACATTTCACTGTCTGGTTATCTGTTACAAAGAGATGAGACATTGTCTGCTATTGGCTGCCCTGACAAGATGACATCACCCAACTGACAAATCAGAAATATCTATTTGCATAATAATTATGCCATTTCGTTATAATGGTCCCCTCCAGTCATACATTTGGTCAAATCCATTTATATTGAATTACTGGGCCTCTTTTACATCTTTTACATCTTTGATGGATCTGGAAAGAAGACATCTATTTTTTTATATTATGGATGAAAAATCTTTCATTTGCAAATTGGCACCTCCAGGGCAGCAGATATCTCAGCAGATGTATCTCAAACTCCAAAATAGTATTTTGTATCTGTTCCACCAGAGTGTAACAATGCTTTAAAAGCCAAGGCAATAGGTCAGTGAAACAACACGTCTTTCCTGGTCTAGGTATGGACACATTAATGACAAACGATGTAGGTTTTAGTCCTCCATTGCATGCTGTACCCATATTTGTCTTACAATATGAATGACCACTCCAGTCGGGTACCATCATGAAGGTGTAATGTACAGTTAGCTTTACATCAGCGACGTCTGACAAACCAGCTAGCTAACGGAGAGCTAGCTGAAGTTATTAAATGTGTGGCAATAGGAAACAGGAACAGGATAAAAACTATCCGGTGTCTGTATGAGAAAACGCCAAAGTTTCCAAGCAGAGCTTAGCTGGCTGGGTTACCTTAGATAAGATAAAAGCTATTTGTTGATAGTTGGTGTCAAAAGTCAGACAGGGAATTCAGATACATAGCATTAGCATAACATGAGCAACAACCAACTCTATGACCGCAGTATGGAGAGAATGTTGGATTCGTCTTCATATGGAGCTACAAAAATATCATCATCAGCATGTTGCTTTTAGCCACCACTAACACTGCTAAGCATTAGCTAGTATCTGGTTAGCTAGATAGTTAGCTTCAAAGTGGAGGCAGGTTGCTACAGACTTTTGAGACATTTTTCAAGTGGTTTTTTTTATGAATGAATACCAACAGAAATCATGTGTGGTCAATTGTGTTGATCCAAAATAATAGTATTTGTTGCTAACAATACAGAAAATAACCTACTTAGTGGTGTTTGTGATTATTCACAATTGAATTGTATACAGGTGATGAACCCTTGTTTTCTTGTTAATTTAGCTCATTGTTACTAATGTTAAGTATTATACAGGCCCTTATATTTATCTACCTAACATGTTGAAATTAACTTAACAAAAAATGTAATTACTGCTCAATATGTTATCAGAGACTGCATGTTAAAAAGAATCATAATAAGCTGAGAAAAGCAACGACCACCCGGGTGTCAAGAACTCCAACGCCTTTTTGGACTTTTCCAATCCGTCAAAAAGACAAAACGGCTTGGAGCATATTAAACAAAAAATGGGTACAGCATCCGTAACAGTAGGAAATGGGGAGATTTTTGTTTTTTTGATTGGTCACTGCTCAGCCTGATCAATAAGGAAATGTTTTAGCAGACAATTACGACTTCATTTTCAACAAAAACAGCCTGATGTAACTCTTTGCGGCCCAGATTAGCCTGTCATCCAATGATGGCTGAAAAAGGCAGCACGATCATTCATCCATTACAATTTGACACACATATAAGACTTAAAAGAGTTGAAAAAGATAGATTTAAACACCTATTTAAGCCATTTTAGATCACTTCACATCACTCAAGCCACTTTTTGAGAACAGAAATGGGAGCTTGCAGAGCTTAATTCCCAGGTTGCGTGTTTTAACGAGGCACATTATGTGTCTGACAGTGAGGAAACGTTCACCCGTCTGTTTTAATTTCCTCCTTGAGGAGCTCAAAGGCAGAGAGGCTGAGAATGTATCACCTTCAATGTCCACTAGAGGGGGACAGGGCTGTTTCATGGCCAGGGTGGCGGACAGTTTGACAGGAGAAGGGAGAAACCAGGGGTGAAGAGAAAAGAAAAATGAGCAGAGGATGGTTCGTGGTTAGTTTCAGAGAAAAGAGAGTGAACGATGTGCAATAAAAGAAAGAGAAATCAATCGAAGGTGGGAGTGTGGCGAGTCAAAAGGACAGACAACAGAGGAGGGCTGGACTGGTTGTTTTTCCTGAATCACCTCTTCATCTAGCATGCACATTTCTTCTCACTGGACTGCGAATCGGTGAGCTTTGTGGCCCCGTTCCCATTGGCTGACTCTGCTGGTGGTTTGTCAACACACTGCTCCATCCTCTTCATGACCAGGTCCAGCAGCGTTATCACCGACTTGTCCACCTCAGCACCTGTCGCTGCACTGGTCTCGAAGTAGGGGATCCTGTGAGCAACAAAAACAGAGATTTTTGGTTTAAATGCCAACACTTCTGAATGTTTAAGCCCGTAACAGCGGTCTTATTATCACAATTTCAGTGTAACCACGATGGGTATAATGGACATGCTTTCACACCATATTGACGCAGTAAGAAGAAGCTCAAGCTAAGCATCAGCCTCTCTCAGATTAACGGGTGCCAATTCAGTGGGGGAAAAATGCTTTTTGGATTTATTTTAGATTAAAGAAGGACATGTTGCTAAATCTGGTTCTGTGTAAAACATGTAGAACAGCACATAGACAGAAACTGTGAGGGAAAGCTAATATGCACTCTTTAATTCTTATTCATTTATCACACCTCATATCGTTATCATAATATTGAACAAAGTTATCACACATTGCATATTGTTTTGATATAGGGCCTAATTTTCATGCAAACATAGTCCAGTTTATTTGTTGTTACACCAAAATGAAAGCAAAGAAATAACATAACAATAGTAAAACTTATATTATACTTCTACAGACTGTATAAGTCCCCTGTATGTATAATTGTACAATAATAAATAGTTTGCTTAGTTTTCCAGGGTTAAAAGGGAGATACTTCCTTGTGCAGAATGTTGTTGCTAGGCAACATCAGGACAAGCCAGGTCAGACCTGCTTGGCTGGCTGCAAAGACACCAGGAAACAATTTGTACCTTTTCTTATCAGGAAGCAATAAGCTGAGAAATTGTTGAAAAGTCAAGAGCAGTCAGACTTCATCAAGGTAAGAAAAGGTTAAGATGATGGACAAAAGTTATCTGTCCAGCTAAAGTCACAAATAAACTCTTGTAGCAGCTGAGGTGTTTGAAATGAGAGCTGATAGGAAACTCTGGAAACAACCTTACCCGTATTTATCGGCCAGCTCTTTGGCCTGTTTCTCCTGAACCTCCCGCTGGTCGGCCAGGTCCGCCTTGTTTCCTACCAACACGATATCTGGATTCTCACAGTAGGCATTGGCCTGTAGCTGGCCTGGAAAAGAAGAAATGCCAACATCAAAAGGTCACAAAAAAATATAGAAAAACATGTACAAACTGCACAACTGAATGTGAAAGTGAAATGTGTATCTGGAGTCCTCTGAATAAAATTTAAAACTTGCATGAAATTAACCTACTGATGTTTTTATTCATGCTTTTATCATTAGACCTTCATCAGCAGTAGTCTGGGTTAATGTGCCAGACTTGAGGTATTATATTCATGTTTTCCATGAACAGAAAAAATAGGAACACTTGTATAGTGTTGGGTCCTGAAAGTTTTCAGAAAAATAATCATGTCTTAAAAGCAAATGTGTATTTTGTATCACTAATGATTACATGTTCAGATAAATGTTTTTTAAATCTTATGTGGAATCATTGTAACCTCTGACCATCACATACACGGGTAGATAAAGCCTTTCCCTCATGTTATGATATTGAGCTCAGGAGATATTTTGAGAATTAAATAGTTAAGTGAAGGCGGGAAAAAGAGCTGCTGTGACGGCTCCTTTTCTGTCAAATGTTAAGATCCCCAAACTGTCCAAGTGAAGCAAGTTTCATCCTTTATGCTAAATCTAAAAGTCAAATATATCAGATTGACCCGGATAAAACCGCCTTTGATTTATTTTTATTTTCAAATAAAAAAAGTAAAGACTGTAATGTCTCCTGTTTTTTATTTATTTTTCTGGGCTGTTTAGTGCCTTTATTGTAGAGATAGTGGATAGAGTTGGAAAACAGGGAGAGAGCGAGACATGCCGGAAAGGAGCCACATGTCGGATTCGAACCTGGGGCGCCCGCTTGGAGTACTACAGACTCTGTACATGTGGCACACACACTCACTAGGCTACCAGCGCTTTTTAACATGGAAACTGAATAGTAATGCACAATCTATCAAATTCAGAAGATGAAACCATGTTTAATGATTTCTTAACAAGTAGAGGGAACGTGACGTTGACACATACTCATCCAGTTTCTGACGTTGAGAAAGCTCTGCTGGCTGGTGAGATCAAACATCAACAGGAACCCCATGGCGTCCCTGAAGAACGCCGTCGTCAGGCTGCGAAACCTGAAACACATGGAAGACAAAAGGAATGTTAAAATACAAATATGATTTAATAAGTTTTTCAGGCAATATCTGCTTTAAATGTATAACTACAAGAAATATTCCCCCCAAGTGCCCTACTTCATCAAAAGATACATTTTCAGCATGTGCAACAACAGTTAGTAGTTTCCACATCACACAAGTTTCACTGTGGACCATGATCTGATTCATGACCAGTTGTAATGTCATAAAGTCATGCTTTTTCATGAATACCCTGAACTCAGATTTGACGGTAGCTCAGGGAAAGTTTCCCCCCGCTTCAGATTCTGCTCGGTAGAGTCGGTCGTTTCTCTACCGGAAGGTCAGGGGTTCAATCCCCAGCTCCTGCAACCGCATGTCCGATGTCTCCTTGGGCAAGACACTTAACCCTGAATTGTTTCTGCTGCTTTGTGGGTGGTGTAAGAATGTGTCTGAATGGGATTAATTGCTTCTGATGGTCACTTTACATAGCAGCTACTCTGCTATCAGTGTGTGAATGTGTGTGAACTGGTAGGTGTGACCTGAGGTGTGAAAGCGCTTTGAGAAATCAGAAGACTAGAAAATAACTATACAAGCTCCAGTCCATCCACCATGTGCACCACCAGCTAATGGTAGCCTTTAGATTTTTTGCTAAAAGAAAAGTTTCTTCTACTGAAGCCGGTATGTCACAGCAGTATGGTGACCCCTGGCTGTGATTGGCTCAAACCTTTAATGACGATAGTGGGAATATGAGATTGAGTGTGCTGTTGTTTGTGTCCCTAACACTTAGTGTACATCCCAGTTCATTTGTTTGTTCCCTGACGTGCTCAGCTTCTGGGTGTGACACCGGAGAAAACATGGGACCAACTCTGTGAAAACACTTCCTACGAGTCTTAATGAGCAAATACTTAACATGCAAACATTTGGCATAAAGCGACAAATATCAGGGGTGTTTCCACAGCAAACAGTCTGATGACGCAACCATACAGGTTGAATATAAGACTTTGATTCAAGGATCATGAGGATCAGTTTATGAATATAAGAATCTGCTGCGTTACACTGCCCTTAAGTTGAATAATGATGTAACAAACACTGACTCATCCTGCGATGAGTCAGACCTTTAGAAAACTGATTCAACGGATCAAGGCCGGTTCAAATTGAAGACCACACACGCCAACACACACTGAGACATGATTGATAGATGCTGCCATATTGTCAAGGACACACATGAAAACATACAATCAGATTCTCAAACTTCCTTCTTGAACCATCCAGTATGGTAACGCATACATGATTTTAGCATTCGCTTCAAAAATGGATTTGACATATCTGGAATTTTCAAGCAAAATAAACCATGTAGAGAGTTACACTGGTTTCATAATACAGCGTAGATTTAAAGTCTGAATGGAAAAACAAGATGCATTTTTGCTCATCAACCAAGCATCCAGTCAACAGACCCTTTAAGATTCTGTTGCCATAAAGAATCTGAAGAGTTTAACTAATGACACCCAACATGTTATGAAGGATGAAACAGAGTGATTTTGTATTTCTGGAGAGACGTGCATGGTGTGAGGATCAGCCCACCTCTCCTGTCCAGCTGTGTCCCATAGCTGAAGGTGAACTTTAAAGGTTTTCCCCGTAGCCGCCCCAGTGGGGTTGGTCTGTGTGTACACCTGAGGAGAAAGAAGCAACACTTAGTTTAGACTAAACACATACAATAAATAATGTGTCCTCTTAACACTCTGCCTGCAAACATTTACCTCATAGCTGCTTGTAATTTATGAGGGTAACTTCATTTAATCTAATTGATATAAATGAGGTCGACAGGGTCCTACACCAGTGGTCCTCAGCTTGTTTTCCCTTGGAGCCTAGCCTACTTGTATCCAAGAAAAGCTGAACCTCCCCAGGACGCACAGGGGGGAAAACAAGATACATAGCTGACAATCATTTCCACTGATAAATGTCTCTCTTCTGGTATAAACTTTACGTTCTTTTCTCTTAATATCCCAACAGAATGCACTTACCTACACAGACTATTTCTTACATATAATATATAATAATATAATTTTCCAGTAAATATGTTATTGTAAGTAAATGTGTGCAAATCTTATTTTGACAACCTAAGAGCGGGCCAAGCCTTCCCCCCAATGTCTTAGACAGCCCTCTCAGCAAAAAGCAGGAATATTCAACTGCCTCCCCCCCCTGCAGCCTCCACAGTGACACTTGAGTTGAAGCAACATCTCTCTATATGAATGTGTGGAAGCGATCCTACATTTTTTTATAGGTCTGCATGCCCGACTAACAGACGGACAGAGATCTGTTCAATGTTCATGACTCTGTTATAATAAACTGTGGTGTGATGCGGCAGCTTGTGTTTGTGTCTCTGCAGGAAGCCTCGGGCGTCATTCACACCTCTCTGACTCTCCCACATGAGACACTGTCACTCTCTCTCTGACGTTCTTTTAAAGGGAAATTACCGCCCACCCACTCTGTCTCCTGATGTGGTTGGTGGGCCTGAAGGACTCCAGAGCATTTCAGATCGGATTTGCAGTCTACACATTTAATCGTACCAATTGCAAAGCACCTGCAACAACTACTTGAACTAGAACAATGACATCCTCGTATGTGATTCCAGAGAGTTTAAGAAACAAAGAGGCTGCCTACATCTCGCATTAGCATCCGTCCTGTGTGATCAGTTAACAAGTGGATAGCCTGAATGTGTAATTACACCCCAATCCATGGGAGGACAGATTGGTAGTGTAAACGCTCATGCTTCCTGTGCGGTATTAAGGACGATCCCTCAATGGTGAGAACAATACTGCCTCCAACGAGTTTAAACGACAATGCATTGAGGGCCTGATGTACTATGAATAGTAGGGCTGGGTATCTTTGGGTGTCTCACGATTTGATTCAGAATCTATTTTTCTCAATGCAAAACTATTCTTGAGTCATGATTCAAAGTCTATGTTTTGAATTAGTACATTAGTACATAATTCAGGATGTACTCCAGTCATCTGTGAGATTGGCTGAATTTCTTGCTGCTCCATTTGGCATTATACTGAGTCAAAGAGCTAGCATTAGCACTTAGCAGGGAGTGACTGACTAGCTCAAAAAAATGATTGTGGAGAGAGGCTGTTTGCATCTTTACTCTGCATGGTACTGCACTCTCATACTGTACTCAGCACCATCAACATACAGATGATCAGCTAGGAGGTGTGGGGGAACTTTTAAGAGTTAAATGTAAGTCCAGACTGGAAAAATGTGAATGCCACACATCAAAACAGTATTTCAGAAAGCACTGGCTACTTTCACTTTCAAAACTATCCAATAAATTACAGAGTTGGGAGTCAAAAGACTTTAGTCTGCATAATCTGAGTGAATGGTTCACATTCAGCTCTCTGCTTCATGTTCCATAAAGACCAAGAAAAGAAAAGCCAATGACAGCACTAAACTACAGCTGCGATCACACATGTCTGCTTCTGTTTCAGTCTGGAACATTCAGATGTTATCCTGACACACACACAAACCCAGAGAAACAGAAGAGGAATGGATAAATAATTCATGTATGAGTCATCCAGTGTGTCGGGATTAAAGCTGCATCGACAGTATTTCTAAAGTACAAACACTCAAAAGGCATCAAGGTGATTAACGCCCCGCCCACTTCCTGATTAAGATAACCTTACCTCAGTTGTCTTGGTGTATTCATCCTTATGAGACCTCAGCAACAACAGTAAATGTTTTAACAGCTTACAGTGACAATTTAAAGTGATAATTCATCCAGAATCAGTCTTTGAAGTATGAAACCCTCAATAAATTTGATAGGTGGCTGTTTTTCTAAATTATTTTAATACCACTCTTGCTAACCCTGGAAAAACAACAATTTAAACCTCTTTGAAGAGTAACTTAATCTTACTTTTTGCCAAGACAGGAATGAGAAAATAACTATCATCGTTGCATATGAAGCTTTAATAGGCAGGTTATCAGCTCTGGAGGTTAAACTGGGATAAAAAGTTTAATACTGTAAAACCACAACAAGCCGGCCCCCTCCTCCATAGAACTGATGCGCATGCAGGTTGACATGTCGCAGACACTGAAGCTTCACTTTATCTCCTTTATATCTGAACCAGTTCTGTTGCCCGCTTTCGTCGCTGCAACACCTCTTGGTTTGCCGTTTGCCTGGCAAACTGAGGGGTGTCCAAAACGGGCCGTGTGGGGGGTGTCCTAAAACCGCCTACCTTCTCTGGTCCAAACAAATCCAGAGCATTCAGGACTAGAATCTAAAGTTAGAAGGAGGACATACTGACTGCTGCATTGTTGTCAGAGAAGCCAGCACTTCAACATAGCATGTTTCCTTAATGTCTGATCAGATAGTAAGATCACTTTATGAATTATTTCAGTACATATTTTACAGATTGGACATCTAACAAATAGGGAAATGCGTTAAACTAGAAAATCTGTCAGCTTTCTGAAACATTATTTATCATATTTTTTATCATGATGTTTTATCACGATGCTCACATTTCCTAGAAGTTTAGTTTATAATGAGTTATTTGACGGATTAAATAAAGGGTATAACATTGTAATTGACAGCTCTGTTGACAAATACTTGGGATATCGCTATTAGAAAATAGACAGCTAAAACATTCCTTTCCTTTGCTAAGACCAACTCCACATGATGTGCCGTTTAAAACGTGGTGACAAAGCCATTTCTTCACTGATATTTCATCCCAGGTTCTGGTTTGATCCGACCCAGCTCTGACCTCCCTTTACAACTTAAAAAGACCGTGACTCATCTCAGCCGCCGTGGGAGCTGACAGACACAGACGTGACCTGACCTGATCTGACCTGCAGACTCTTCTGTGATCAGTTCAGATCAAAGAAAGTGTCAGGGCAAAGGACACTGTAACTATGGTAACCAAGCCTGCATCACCTGTGTGTAAGGTAAGGGTCTGGTTGTTTTTTTATCATAACATTTGACTTCTTGCGGTGCTGGTTCAGCTCAGTTGATAGATCACGCTCACTGGTTCGACTCCTGATCCTGACACTGTTTGGTTAATGTCATCACTCTCCATATTTCCTGTCTCGCTCAAACTGTACTATCCAATAAAAGCCCTAAACATAATCTTTAAAAAAAAAAAAATAGATCTCAGGTAGAGTTGAGGCTAAAACTTAATTGGCCTGATTCATGGTCAGACAAACAGAAATATCTCAATAGAAGAAAATAGGGTTGACCTGATAACAGACAGAAACTTTTTAGCAATTTTATGAACAATCTAATTATATTGATAACAGTTATAATGCCATGGCAACAAGAATAAGTCCTAGGCAACACCTTTTGGAAACTGTATTGTATAACAGTATTCAGGCTAATGTCTGCACACTGTCTGAACTGCACAAACACATTTTGCAAAAACCACTAGCATTGTCAGCACATTTGTGCAATATGGACCGTGCAGCAGCAACTTTGGGTTAAAATTATGACTGAAGATCTGAAGTTTTATTTATAGCTCTGGTACTATTCAGATCTATGGATTTAAATAATACAGATTGCACCGTTTTTAAAACATGTGTCGTAAATTATTTAAGTATAATTTCCATTTTTTGATCCCTCATTATTAGACGTAAGAGATCACAACTCACCACTCTCTTTTCCCTAAAGTCAATGCCGACTGTGGTGATGAACTTGGGGTTGAACTTGTTGTCTGTGTATCGGTACAGGAAGGTGGTCTTCCCCACGCCGGAGTCCCCCAGGGCAAGGAGCTTTATAAGGTAGTCATAATCCCCATCAGTCATAGTGATGACCGCAATTAACCTGAAACAAACAGAAAGGGACGCATGTAAGCAGACATTCACACACAGAGAGACTCAGCTCAAGGTTACATGTCAGAGAACGAGAATAATAAAGGACAGAACAGAAAATGTTCTTAGTGACAGAAAGGAGATTGTGTGTGTGTGTGTGTGTGTGTGTGTGTGTGTGTGTGTGTGTGTGTGTGTGTGTGTGTGTGTGTGTGTGTGTGTGTGTGTGTCTCTGTGTATGTTAAACTATCCACTGCTGAGTGATGGAGTGGTCAGCTGGGTCGTCTTGACCGGAGCATGACTTTCTGGGAAAATTCTAACCGTGTGTGTGTGTGTGTGTGTGTGTGTGTGTGTGTGTGTGTGTGTGTGTGTGTGTGTGTGTGTGTGTGTGTGTGTGTGTGTGTGTGTTTGTGGGGGAGCTTGAAGTATGGGTGGGAATGAGAGTCTACATTTTCATGTCTGAGAAAGCAAAAGAAATCCCACATGAAGACACAAACGTATATCTCAGGTTTATTACATTGATTTTTAAGCAACACAACTTCTGAGAACTATCAAAGAAACTTTGATTTTGCTACATACACATATGTAGAAAGTTGATGGTACTATTCTATAGAGGTGTACCAAATCAGCTGGTGACTCATATCGGACAAGTTACAGCCTGTCGGGCCTCTCAAATATATCCACTTCTGTACTGATCTCAGGTTCACACACACACACGGAGACGAGAGATTTCTGTCATGCGCTCAACAAAATCAAATCTACACACACACACACGCACACGCGCATACACAGTGAGGAAGAATCAGAAAGAGACGGGGCAGTCTGTGGTTTGTATGAAGAGAGGAGAGATACTTTTCTACTTTATAGTTCTAATGAATGTATTTTTAACGACTCTTAATTTACTGTAATAAGTCACAGACATTACAAATAAAGGCTTTCATAACCGTCTGCCAGACTCAGAATTCTACCACACAATCTGCTTCGGCTGTAATTTTCCGACACAGAAGATGAGATCATCTTCAGCGACTCCAGACAAAGTTCATCATCAAAAGCATCCACTGACTTTTGTAACCCGTGTTCTCCTGAACATGTGTTAGTGGAGATCTAAGGAATGCAGTTGAGTGTTCATGTCTCTGGTGAGTTTCAGTCTGGGGCCTGTTTGTCCTGCAGCTAAATGTGATATATTTAGAGGCAGGATCATAAGACTCTTAATTGACTCAGCTGAGAAGAAGCACGTCTTACACTGCACTTTATTACAGGGAGGATGGTGATTAAGCAGCAGCTCCGATCTCCTCACAAGAACCTCCCCGTGCCTCTGACTGAATGATCAGAGTGATGCTAAGATACCTCTGTAGTATATTAAAACAGACCTCAACGCTTATCAAATGTGTGATCTCAGCTACAGCAGGATTAGCTGTTTCTAGTAATCATGAACAAAGAGACCGCATCAAACTAAAGAAAGCATGAAGTGCTTATTAGAAATGTTCTGATACCAGCTTTTCATTCCTCCTGATGCTGATCAGATGCCTTCACTTGGGTATAGGACTATACCGTACCGTAAGTACAATCCTAAATATATATTCATAATATTGGTGGAAAAACACAAATTTCTTACATTTTGCTAGCACCACACAGTTTTTCAATACTCAAAAACATACCTGGGACCAGTTGACGTTTTGGGGTTAATATGTTATGATGTCATAGCATTAGCTCACAAACATGCTAATATGCAAGATAACATTTCAGACAGCACTGTGGCTGGATATTGATAGAGGTATTGGTGTTGGTATTGGTGTTGGTATTGGTGTTGGTATTGGTGTTGGTATGCATAAGGAATGGGTACGAGTACTAGGGTAATTCTCTAACCCGTGTAACGTTTCATTACTCATTACTTGTTTTAAGCTACATTAGCTCACCTTAGTTAGCGATACATATGTAACTGAGGTTTCAGGGTGAATATACTAAGTAATAACTTCTCCAGCCCAACTTCAGCTTTATTAAACATGAGCACAGCTTGTGCAACGAGCTCGTTACACAAGCTGTGTTGTGGCAACAACAACTGCTTTGAGGCAGCTACGGTAACTCTCTAGGGACACATAACACCAAAGACCATACAAAAGCTTAATTTTATTGCCCCTAAACAACTGATTCAAAGTAATATTCAGTCCAACATTCCAACAGTCCAAACTATTTTCTTTAAGTAAGGCTTAGAAATCTATTCTCACAACTTGACTTGTGAGTACACTACACTTAAAGTAAAAGAGATAGTGATTTACTGCCATTGTGGGTGAGGCAAGGTGGGGGAGCTTATTGATCTGTCACCATTGGTGGAGAAGCAGGAATGTTTACAGTGTGATTGGTCAGTTAGGCAGGATTCCCCAAGGGTAAAAACTTTAATAGCAGCAGCTGTGTCAGCTGACGGTGGAGGAAAAAGCACGACTCACAGCACCATGATGACCAAAAACAGAACAAAACAGAAGAGAAACGTTCACTTTCCGAGGTTTTTTCTTTTTTTCAAAATGTATAGATCTTCAAACAGACTTGTCCCCAAATTTAGAAAAATACTTCATCAAATAATGATCCATGGTATCAAAAAAGTACCAGATTCATATCTTTAGTCACATTCAACCAGAAGCTGCAGCAACGAAAGAGAAAGATTATTGTCAAAGGCACCAAAAAGTTGACAAAATATTTTTGCAGTTTAGACTTTGTGAGAGACGTTATCTGAAAGTTTTGGTTATCAAAAACAAAAATGACAGTATTGGGTGCCTGGGACTTCTATTTTTGTTGCTGTGTTATCGAGTTATACAGTCATATTTCTTGATTTTTATTATAATCAAATAGAAGGTGTTTTCTTTTTTTAAGATTTCTTTTTTGCTTTTGCCTTTATTTGATATAAGACAGCGGTTAAAATAGGAAATGGGGAGAGCAAGCAGGTAATGACATGCAGGAAAGGAGCTGCAGGTCGGACATGAACCTGTGACACGTTCTTAGAGGGCTATGGCCTCTGTACCAGCTGTGGCTCAGTGGTACAGTCAGTCGTCCATCAAACAGAAGGTCGGGGGTTCGACGCATGTTGGGGAAGTCACTTAACCCTAAATTGCTCCTGCTGCTTCATTGGCGGCGTATAATTGTGTGCGAATGGGATTACTTACTTCTGATGGTCACTTTACATAGAAACCTCTGTCATCAGTGTGTGAATGTGTAGGTGTGACCTGTGGTGTAAAAGCACTTTGACTAATCAGAAGACTAGAAAAGCGGCATTTAGCATTTAGACCATCTGTTGTTGAACTGTATTTTCTTAGTCTGATGCATGTTTCTTAAAGTTATCATATCCTAAGTTATACACAGTAAATTAGCAGACTTTATTGAGAAGCTTTTCAGCTAAAGTGCCTGACAGAGGCGAGGTGTAGCTTATAAAGAGGCGAATCAAAAATGAACACCTGATTAAGAGAAAAAAATCGAATACACAAAATGATTGTGAAGTTTGCTGCATTCAGGGTAGGAGTGCAAACATTTTCCCTCGTCTGCTATGCCTTCTATCGCAACAACAAGTGAGACAAAACGATAAAACACCAAGAGACATTAAAAATGTATGAGCCATCACCCACAATGGGAGAGAGGAGGAACAAAGGGAAAGGAGGAAAAAGAGTAGAGTCGAGTCGACAGCCGTCCAGTCCAGCTGAATAAAGAGACGGGGGTTTGTTTGAGGATACATCATCAGTGTCACTATCAACGTGCCAATCAGGAAGTGGCGTTTGCTCTTCCTTCTGTTATTAATCACATCAGAAAGATAAAAACAGACGTCACTTCTGTCAGTCGCTCTGATGCAGTCTGCAGCTTCATAAATTAACAGAGTTGCACTTTCCATCAAAGGCTTGTGCTACTTTTTGTTGTGAAATGTGTCAAAATGAATCCACAGACGAGACATGTAAAGACACACTCTTGTTCATCCTCATTACTGAACTGTGGTATAAATATATGAGACATCCAAACTGTATATTTCTGAACCAAAACTTGAATACAATGCAGGAATGAAGTTGTAATTGATGAATTGCACAAGTGGTTTTGCATATTTCAAGAGAAATGACTTTCCCCACAAAGAATCGAAACTCAACATTCAAATGTGAAACGTCAGATATGATGCAACATGTTCCTCCTAATCTGCCTTTTTAAATTCTGACTTCCTTTTCTGGGAAATACTGGTGCACTCTCGTGTCTGATACATGCATGACTTGCCCACAAACTCTGTGTTATTTCTTAAGAAACCACAAGCGATCTAGACCATCTGTTGCCATGGTAATAGCTCTAGGAATGTAAACTTGGGCTCAGTGATGCTTGACAGCTAAATGCTAACATCAGCATGCTAATGTTGCACCCATGAACAAAGACGTGTCTTCTGTTTTTCAACTTGATTGCTCATTTTCTATACGATGGTTTTGCAAGAAAGCCTTCCATGCAAGACAGACGGCTGTAAACAAATAAAAACCTTAAGTAATGTATACTCCATGAGGGTCAATCCCATCTAATCTTGTAAAACACCTTCATCACAGCACTTAACAACAAATTGGATTCACAACAAGACGAGGAAATGTAACACACCTTCATATTGTGTTTTACTATCAACAAGTTCAAAACATCTCTGAACTGCAGAATAAATCAGTTACAGCAGCAGAGGACCCGACAGCTCAATGGAGGAGCATAAATCTACCTGACAGACTCTGAGAGTAACTCCAACCTCTCAGCGCTGTGCTGCTTTAAACACTCACAGATTTATAACGCAAAGAGCATCGTACCTGAAAGACAGAGAATGATGAAGGAGAAGGGACGATTTTGTGGATTCGTGCAGAAAGTCCGCAGCGAAAAATCCAAAATTAGGTCTCTATGAGAGGACAACCAGCAACTATATTGACATCAATCAATGGAGTAATGACGTACCTTTATTTTGTGTTGATCCTGATCACAGACTACAGACAACTTTCATAAAAAGACATGCATCTACCTTAGATCATTTCC